CGGGCCGCCGCCGCCTGCTGCTGTGGCTCGGGGCCGCCACGCAGCGCCGCGGGTTCGCCGGCCGCGCCGGGCCCGCGCCCGGCTTCGGCTCCCTGCAGGCCTCGCTGCTGCCTCCGGCCCTGGCGGGGAGACGCTACAGCCAGGTACGCACCGGGAGGGGGCGGGAAAATCCCGCTCTCGCGCCCCCTCCTGCTTCAGTTTCCTGCCGCCTGCTGCGCCCCTGCCCCTCATCTGCTGCACCGGGTTGTTGTGGGGACGAGCTGGCGAAAACAAACCCCTAGAGCAAGCACAGAGCAAACCCCTCTTTGCTATATGTAGCCTACCTCAAAGTTTTTATGAGGATAGAACAGGGACGAGGAGGAGGAGGGAAAGAAACCCCTCTTTGCACATCCTGATTTTTCCATCTTCAATGAGAAGAATTTATTTTCTTTATCAGGACTAGCCCTTCCTCCCCTCCTTCCTTCAAGTTTTTATATGCCGTCCAATACTAAAAGTTTCTGGAGGGCTTACAAACGAGGCAGTGAGAATAAAAGGCAGGGGAGGGAGTTATGTAAGCCATCTTAGGTTCTTTGCCAGAAAAAAGTGGGATATTAATTTAAATATATAAATGCCACCCAATAGCTGAAACTCTCTGGGCAGTTTACAGAAATTACAATGCTTAAAAATACTTTATAAAATTCTGTGGGTACAGTTGCAAGATACCAAGAGAAACAGGCCTTGGCAAGGGGCGGCATAGAAATGTTTTAATAAATAAATAATAAATAAACAGACATATATAGCTGCATACAGTTGTACAGTAATCAAGAAAATGTCAAGACCTGATTGAAAAGTGTCTTAATACATAGGAAGATTTGATGAAATAATTTTTCAGGGAACATTGCTTCTAAATCTATTCCTACCCCCTTAGTATTTCTTCTACCATCTCTCTTCAGAAACATGAATAAATGGAAAACCTTATATTGACTTATTTGTAGTATTTATATACCACTGGGTATAATAAAATCCCTAAGGACACAATTCTGTGCTGGAAGCTTCAGGCCTTTTTTCTGGCCACACTTGCATAGCATTACAACTAAATACATACTAAATGTGGGCCCCCCACTTCCCCTCAAAATTAACGTGGTTACTAAGTCTCTGAGATAGCTTTAATGTAGAAATAAAACTGCATGTGTATCCGTTGTCTTATAACACTTGTGTTTTTACTCCGAGGGGAGCAGGACAGCAGAGTATATGAGATTATGCTCTTTTTCTTCACAGTGACCTTGTGAGGTAGAGTGGGAGTGTATAATTGGATGAAGGTCACCTCCCATGTGGCGGAGCTTTGCAAGCTCCCTTCATCCTCTAAGACCTTTGAGACTGCCTCCTTCTTCCGTTTATCTGATGATGATAACTTGGCTAGATAGAAATGATCTTTCAGTCTTTGATGTACAACAAAGATATGAAGACATGGCACATAATAGTTTTCTCTGGTGTGCTTTTTTAGATTTATGTTTTGTGTCTTGCAAGGCAAGTAAAAAGAAGATTGCTTTTTCATGAGGGCAGGCTTAAGATGTTTAATATGAACCTGTATGCCATGTGTTGATCATCCATCTACACTGCAGATTGTGTTAATTACATGTAACTGAGACAGACAACTGGTTGAAAACATGTCCCATCTTACTGGTAAAACTTGCTAGTGATATCCCAAACATGCCCCTCAGAGCCTTAGAAGAGTGTCAGATGCACGCTTGACCCCAATCCCAGCGGTGGAATTTTCTAGGGCACTTCAGCTGATTCTGGTGCTTTGCCTGTGCATGTGAACCATCAGAGTCTGTTGTGAGATTATCCTAGATCATGACAGCTTTCTGTACTGAATACTCTGAAGATACTTTTTCCCAGGCATATTTTGTGCCCTTCCCAGTTGTGCTCTGTAGCAACCAGCTTGTCTCTCATATGCTTTGTCATCCTTATGTATCAATTATAATACTGATATAATCAACTTCTTTTGGAAGGAGCAGATATATGATGAATATCCCCCGCTCTCACAATATGAATCGCCTTCATCTCAGTCAAGCAATGAAGATGTGTTTCTTATTCATGCCCAAGGTCTGCCATACTTGTGTACTAAAGAAGATGTTCTTGACTTTTTTGCAGGTAACTTCATCTTTCTGGTTTACAGTGGGATGAGTAAAGGCTCAGCTACACATGAGGTTAAGCATGTGGTTCAATGCTTCATATATATTTTTAACTGCAGTCACATTGGGGAATGGGAGTGTGATGGGCGGGGTAGGGGACCCAAAGGAAACATTCCTTCTGATGCAGGTCCTAGTTTCACAAAGACTTTTTTATTTTGTTCATGGCAGGGGTAGGCAGGGAAAGGGTTAAATTCCCCCTTCCTTCCTCTTGCAGTTTTTTATCCTGAGAAGTGCCTCTCAGCAGCTGTAGTTTAAAAAAGAAACACAATGTTAAAAATTCAACATTGTGTATAGTTTGGCTCCAGAAGGTAACTCATTATTTATCTGTTGATAAGTCTCATGAAAATGAAGTAGTTGTAAATATTCAGTATAGGATAATTATATAATTGGATAAATAGAAGTGGTATTTCAGGTGCTACACTGATGTGGGTTACATATGCTAAATAGGACTATACAGGAGATTTGGCTATGTTTCCTTACTGAGATAATATATCTGGTTACGTGCTTATGTGAGTGTGTTTGGAAATTAAGATAGCAGAATAAAACATGTTTTTTGGCAGTCAACACCAGTTGAGCCCATAGGAGGACTCAGCTGCTTTTGTACTCCAAGATGAGTCAACTGTATTGATAAACCATGGACTGGGAACATAGGAAGCTGCCTGGTACAGAGTCATACCCTCGGTCCATCTAGCCCAGTGTTTTGACCTGACTGGCAGCAGCTCTCAAGGCAGGTGTTTTTGCTTTACTTGGAAATACTGGGATTGGAACCTAGACTCTTCTGCTGCATGCAAGCCTGGTGCTCTTTCGTGAGGCCACACCCACCCCTCTTCACCTCAGATCCTCTTTAGGCCAACAGTTTAGATAAGAGCCAGTTGCCTCAACCCCCCCCCCCCTTCCTTTGATGGCTTCTTGGGTTTCTTACAATTCATTGTATGAACTTTCCTTTCCTTGCATGCATTACTTCTGTTCTATAGGACTGTACCTAACAGCCACTCTGTACACTACACAGAAACCTGCCTGCACAGCTATACATAAAGCTAGCATCTTGAGTCCCCTTTGCTAAATTGAAATTATGGGCCTCAGTCCAGATGGGTGACCACATGTGGTAGGGAAGCAGGGGTTGGACTCATTGACTTTACAGGACCCTTTCAATTCTACCAGTGTTGTATTTAGGAACTCCTCTTACACCTTCATATAGATGACTGTATGTAACAGTTCTGTATAAGTGTATGTTGCAATAACTTCAGTGTGCAGGTACATCAATCCAACATGTTTTTCATCACGCATCACTGAAATATATGTAAAATTGTTCGCATTATGAATTGTTTGTATGTTTATAAAGCATATTTTACATAGAAGTTTGATAACTGGATGAGATATGATTGGAGTATAGACATAATCTGGACTTTGAGAGACCTTTATCTGCTATAGCTTGTTTCTTACTAAAGCAAAATGTTGCAAAACTTCAAGAAGTCTATTTGCATTTGAAACAGGTAGAAAAGTCTCTGACCCTTTGTATGCTTGCTCCCTCCCTAGGCATCAGGGTTCGAAATGGAGCAAATGGCATATACTTCTTCTTAAACCAAGATGGCAAACGCAGAGGAGATGCTTTGATTGAATTAGAGTCGAAAGAGGATGTGCACAATGCTTTAAAGAAGCATCGACAGTATCTGGGCCAGCGATATGTAGAAGGTAGGTTTGGTTTCAGCTTATGCGTAAGAAGGCTTACTGTGATACAATCCAAGAACTTAACGCACTACAGTTGCAGGGTAAAATTGAGTATCACATGAGCAGTCAATTTCCCGTCACTCCCATCTCTGCTGCAGTCACCTCCTGAACCTCCAAATCTGCTCTTGCAGGTGCTGCATTTCTCTGGAATAGACCTGGGGAAATGCAGGGGCAGGGGAAGCTGGTGGTGGATGGCCTGCATTGGCTTCAATCCACATTTCACTCAGCTAAACACTGTGTGTTGTGGAATTTTACAGTTTCTGAAGTACATAATGAGGATGTTGATGCTATCATGAAGAGTCTGCAGTCCAGTTCAGCATCTGTGACCAACGACGGAGTGGTACGACTGAGAGGTCTTCCATACAGTTGCACCGAAGCGGAGATTTCTAAATTCTTCTCAGGTGTGTGGAATAGTGATTATGTGAGCTAGTGTGGAATAGTGTGTGAATAGTGATTATGGAATAGTGATTATGGACTCTGTGTGGAATAGTGATTATGTGAGCTGGTGACCATGCACCACCGCTGAAGTAATGTCGGTGTTGTATAATGACATGGAATGATTTTAATTTACAAGAATCTTGTCTAATATATGTCAGGTGTACAGATATTAAATTGGATTTCTTGGGTGGGCAGAAGAGGTTATCTCAAAGGGGAGAATCCAGAAGCCCATTTAAATATGGCTGGAAACCAGCCTTCTTTTAAGATGAGAAAAAATATAGTTCTGATGAAGGGGGGGGGAGAGAGAACAATGATCACATTAATGGTATCTATACATTTCTATACCACCCAGTAGCTCTCTTGGTGGTTCATTGTTCATTCCCAAAGGAATGGAACAGCAGAATAATTTCATTAAGCTTAAGTGGATTGCACTTCCCTGGGGCAGTCACTGACAAACCAGGGTATCTTCCAGCTGTGTCACAGTACAACTCTCATCATCTCCATTTGAAAAGGTGGAAATTGTAGTCCAGTACACCTGGAGGACACCAGAACAGGGAGGCTGCCCTTGGGGTTCACTGAGCATGTCATACCCAGAAACAGGATCCAAAGAAGTGGATGTGTTAAGTGTTAGTACCACTTTATTTAAGGCAATTTTTCATATGCTATTGTATGAGGGAATATGTGCATATTTTGCTTTCCTGACAAAAAAAAGGTAAACTATGTCTTACAGCTATCAAGATGAATATGCTAATATGCCTTTTCTTACAGGTTTAACTATAGTGGGCATAACTTTTGTTATGGACCAGATGGGAATAAGGAAAACAGGAGAAGCGTTTGTGCAGTTTGCTACACCGGAAATGGCTACTCAAGCCTTGTTAAAGGACAAGGAGGAAATTGGAAGCCGGTATGTGGATGCTGGGAAACTGCCCACTCAGACTCCTTGCAGGAAACAATTGAGTGCAGGGGGACGGTATTGTTCACACAAAAGTTGCACTTTAAAAGCCAATGGAAAGCTGCTGCCAAAAAATGACAGTGAATCTCTTCTTGATGCTGGGGGAAAAACTTGGAAGAAAACTATACTTAAATAGATTTGTAAGTGTTAGGATGTGAGCACCGCATTTGACTTCTAGTTTGGTCATGAAACCCTTATGTAGATTTGATTAAGTTCCTGTCTCTACTGATTATCTATCTGTCAGCAGCAACCAAAATATTAGTGCAGGAGGGGGAACGTGAAGTGCCCTATCTGAAGCACTTTCGTGCCACCCTTATGCTTAATGACAGGGTGCACTAATCATAGTTTCTGATTCTTGTTGCTTGGTCACTTGCAGTCTGCGGTGCAAAAAACCCAGTTTGCTTTCACTTGCTTAAGGCACCATCCTCTGCATGTTTAGGCAGTAAAAATGCCTGAGCCAGCCATGTTTCTATCTAAACACGTGTGAGCTGGTGTCACTCATATTTGAGGTTTGCAGTCATGTATGACTTGATTCTTTAGTGGTCATGATTTAAGTCCTCTTGCTAACCCTAATTTAACTCCTCTCACTTTAAAAACAAAACCACAAAACTATAGCTACATAGAAATATTCCCGAGCCAAAAGAGTAAAATTCGAACCCACAATGGTTTTTTTGGGGGTAAGAAGATGATGGGATATCCCACTATGAAGCAAGAGCCTGAACCTGTTTTTGAGGAAAGCGAGTTGAGTGAAGCCTTGCGACCTGCTGCAGCTTATGAAAGTGATAAAGAAAATGGTAAGTGTGTACAGTACATAGCAATTTGTGTTCGGCATGACACCTGGAAAATAGGCCACTGTATCAAAGTATGTCTTAGTTTATATGAACATGTATTTTACATATATGGGAAACAAACAAGGGATCTGTTGGCTTTCAACTCTTTGCACACAGGAAGACTTGATGCTTCCAAAGGCTGAGTGTCAAAGAAAGCAGCATTTAAATGAATTAAAATGAAATATTGGGGGAATTATAACTACATGCATCTGGGGGTTTATTCATGCATTAACACTGAGGAGATAACATTTAAAATATCTCTGGGGTTCAGTATGCTGGGATACGTAGAAAATCATGGGTGGGGTGCTGATTGTGAAGAAGGGCCAAGAGAGCTTTTAGGAGAAGTTTCAGCTTAGGGTGTTTCCACTGAGAAAGAAGTGGCCAGTTGTGTGGGATTGTGAGAGGGTTTTGGAGACGGGGGTTTGAGCAAATGCAGATTGTTGGAAGAAAGCAGATGGAGAGGACTCAAAGAGTGAGGGGAGGTTCCAAAGACAGGGAGTTTGCAAGTTTTGAATAGGGTTAGGAAAAGGAAGAAAAAACATGATTGGTATATGGGCCATTGGGAAGCAAAGTAGAAGACAGTGTAAGAAATTACCTCTCCTTGTAGGCTGACTGACCTCTCCATGTAAGCTGATGGAAAGCTTTGTTGAGTTCCTCTGGAAAAGAAAGGAAAAAAGGAGGAAAAGAAGGGGATTGCTGTGCTGAGGAGAAAGTGTGAGGGATGGAACAGGTCATTAATATGTTCTGTTCATTTGGGTGGTTCTTTAAATCCCTCATCTTAAGATTTATGTTTTTTTTAAAAAAAAAGGCAAAGCATATTTTCCTGAGATTGTTTGTGGGATGTTAGAAAATGGATTCTTAGGTGTTAAGACATCAGGGGAAGAAAAGAGAATATCAAGTCTTCTTTTGTTCTTGTTATAAGGAAAGGGCAAGTGTTGATGAGTCATATTATGCCTGTCTCTGTCTGTTGTAGGTCCAAGGGAGCTGAGGGGATTTGGGGGATTGTCTGCACCACGCTTTGGAATGTGCAGGGACTTGAGATCTAAAAGGACCTGTTTTTTTACTCTTTTCCAAGACCAAAATACCTAACCCCTTTCATTTGTAGGATTCCCCCCACCTCAAAAAAAAAAAAAAAAAAAGAGCAGAATCTGGGTTGCTTGCTTGCTAACCCACATTAGAGCTGGTAGACAATCCCATGGGTCTTTGCAACACAACCTCAGCACACACACCCTTTGCCATTGAGCATACATATGCTCATTAGTGGGATATAATTTATTTTGTAGTTTTTTCTTAACCTTTGGAGATTTGTGCATATCTAGAGTTTGGTGAGGAGGTTACCTTCAGGGCAATCTATGCAAATCAGCTAAAGTGCAGTAATTCCTATGCTTAAGATATTTGCACAAATCTTCTTGAAAGTAAAAAAAGGCTAAATATATGCTAATCTCCTCGAGTGTGAATGTTTTTTTAATGTTACATTTCACTCTTCCCAATGGTGAAAAAATAATGATAAATATTTGAATCTTCCTGAAGGTCAAAAAACAAACATTAAATTTGCACTGGTGAAAAGGAAGGGTGCTTCTGACTAGGAAGGTGATGATGTAAACTGTCCACTGTTGTTTCAAGACATAACAGAAGATATAGTTATCAAGATTTCAAGGAGTTGCTGTGTTTTCAACTGCTATCATTCTGCATTTCTGCAGTCCTTTTGTGCAAGCTACACACAAGCCATTGTGGTGAGTTTGTACATCACAACAGCACTCTCTAAAAGCAAGCCATCCTGAACAACCCAGCAACAAGCGATGGTTACTCAGGATGGCTTATGTGTGGTTAACACACCACACTGAGGAATCAGTGCCAAGTTCAGACATCATAAGACGCCACCTTGAAACAAGGCTCAACAGCCCACTTTAGGTCGTTACACTATGTAAACTAGGTCAAAGAGAGGTAGATACACAAATGAAGTTGCTAAATGTTCATTTTTGCCTTTTTTCAATGCTACAGAAGTTTTGAAGCAAGCATTTGAAACCCATCGAGATGTGTCAGAGGCTGGGAGTTTCTCCTCGTTTCATTTTGTTCATTTGAAAGGTCTGCCCTATCACGCAACAGCCCAAAATATTATAAATGTACGTAGGGGTAAGATCACTTCAAATATCCTGAGCAATTTTACTAGGAAGTTCTTTCAACCTTAAAAATAGAGATGTATGCCTTTATTGTCAACTGCAACTTTTTAAAAGACTCAATCAGCCTGAAACAGTTTGGTAAGCAGTTGGTAAAGCTCATCTTGCTGAATGAGTGTCCTTGCCTATTTTCATTTCTCAGTAAGTATTTGGAAAAGGAAAGGCAAGAGCATATGGACATGTTACGGCAGCTGTTTAATGTGTCCCTTCTATGGCTTAGAAATGAATAGTAACACTAACATTTGCATTGAACAGCTCAAGGATTGAGCTTCCAGAATTTTACTGGTCTGTAATGTATTCCATGCTATTTAGCTTCTCTGAGTTGTGGCATACGATGTACCTAAGGGCCAGCATTCAAAGAGCCACTTAAATAAGTTCTGCATGCAGAGAGAGAACTGGGATTGTGTTTCTTGATCGTCCACCATGCTGCATGGCAAACAGCTGCCAAAGTTAGGATTTTAGGATTCATGGTGGATTTGCTGTTATAAAGTAAAAAGGCAGACAAGTTACTCATGTCCTCATCCTTGGTAGTATCTGAAGAAGCTCTGTGCACGCCCACCCTAATGCTTAAGCTTCAGATTGTGAAGCAGCTTTGGCTTTGTGCAAAAAGTAATTTGGCTTATTGGGTCCTAGACAGAAATTGCTATTTTGTTGATGGTTATAAATAAAGACCAGCAAAGCCCCAGCTTCTGTTCTATTTTAATTTTCAGGTGCTAATAGGCTATAAAATCTGACTTTTACGCACCTTTTTTTTTCTTGACAGTTTTTCGCTCCCCTGAAACCAGTGAGGATCACTATGGAATATAATTCAAGTGGAAAAGCAACAGGAGAAGCAGATGTGCACTTTGAGACACATGAAGATGCAGTTGCAGCCATGGCTAAGAACAGGTCTAACATGCGTAAGTAGGACTTGGGCCTGTTCCCTGGCTGCAGAGGGTTGGGAGGGCGTTGTCAAGGCAAGGCTGTGCTGAAACGGAAGCGTGGGAAGTTCATGGGAAGAGGCCTTTGGAAAAGGTTTGTATTCTCTTATTTTGAAGCTGTGAAGTTTGTTGTGCAAATACTATTTTTCAGCGTGGCCTCCCGATGTGGCCAAACACCCGCACTGCATATACTGCAAGCAGGCTCCTAGAATGACTCTAGAAGACTAAATTTATGTTCTTGCACCTCTAGTTGTAGCTATGCTTGATTCATTTGGAAGCTCTTTGTATGGGTTTGCTCATACAGAATGGCAGTTGCACATTAGTCCCCAAAAATACCAGTAACCAGATGTAACCAGACCTTGTCCAGACATGACTCCACATCTGTGGTTTAACTGCTTTGGGCACTTGCCTCTCCAATAAAGAAACCTCTAGACACTGAAGTCAGGAAAATGGATCTCACAGTGAACATCAGCATGCAGCGTGATTAATAGGTATCTGTTGCTGCATCCACTATTGCTAAATTCGTAAATGTTAATTTTCCATTCAAACTATTTTCTTGTTCCACAGAACATAGATACATTGAATTATTCCTGAATTCATCACCAAGCAGGAAGAATGGTTGCCAGTGACAATGGCATAATTCCCAAAGTTTAGGTGAGTGCCATGGCAGCCTTAGCTTCTTCGGAAAATAACACCAACATGGCTGGCTGGCTTATTCCATTTGTGTGCTGCCCCATAGTCTGTGGGCTGTGCTCTTTCCACAGTGAAGATCTCCTGCTATCAGAGAAGGGTTGGCAGATTCAACTCACGGCCTCTGCTTTTTGGACAGTAGTGACTAATGCAAAACCATGAGCATGGGAAAAGCACCATTTTATCTGTCAAAGCACTTTCCTCTCTAGTCAAAACATCCTCTCTCCCAGTAGGCGAATGCGATGACAGCACTTATCCTTTCTCATCTGTTGCTCCCCAGCAAATGATATCCTAGCGATAGTACTGTCATTATGACTGGGAGCCAATTGATAGCTTTATTCTCCATGCATTTGACTTAATGCAGCCAATTTCAGGCCCAAAACATGTTGGGTCAAGAATCAATTCCCCTTTCATGAAGATTTATTCCTTTTAATTAAAGAACAGATTTTAAGCCAGTTAAATGCACTAAGTAAGAAACAGCCCAAGAATAGGAAAAGGTTGGGTGGGTGCATCCACTTCCACTATAGGATTTTTATGAGGTAGGCACGTGAATGGGACTTGCAGCCAGGTTTTGCATGCAGCGCTCTGGTTTATTGGATGGTTCTTTTCTTAAATGCCTCTGTTACATGCAGGCCAGGTTGGGTTTTGCCCTGTGCTACAACAGCTTTTCAAGTCTCTCTTTACAGGCATAAGGGTGAAGCATTGTTTTAGGAAAATTAGAATTCTCAGTGATAAAATTCTTCATCAACCTCTGAGCTTTTCTGCACTCCTGCAGAACACACTCCGCATGTTCCCATTGTGTCAGATTTGAAATCTGAAGAGGATTGGACAGGAGAATTTGTTCATTTAATCTTATCTTTTTTTTTCCTCTCACAGGATAAATCAAGATGCATTTCATTTGCACATTTTTCTAGAGCTGGAATACAGGGGGTCCCTGTAACCAGAAATGACAAATTCTAAAGGACACTTTTTCTGAATTGCCTTTCAAAGAAAATCCAGCAGCTGTATCTCAAACCCCACAATTGTTTGTGCAGATGTTTTATGTAAACCAAAATTAAAGTTGAACTGTCTGTAAAACTTTTTGCTACAGTACATGTCATGGTAGACCCAGGGCCAAGCTGTGATGTACAGGTGTAGCGTAACGTGACTGGCACAGAGAGAAGCAGGTGCCGCTTTCAGGAATGGGTATTAACATCATTACCAACTTCATTAGTTGAGTCTAGCTTTGGGGTGGGGGGAGGGGAGAAGCACTCAGACATGTTCTGGCAGTGGGGGAGCATGATTCTCCAAGATGTTTTTGATAGTTCGACCATGGTAATATAGTCAGTGGAGTTACAACTTTGCAAGTGCTGCCCATAAAACATAACAGCAGAGATGCTTTAATCAGAATTTGTGGCATGGGGAAGCCCCACAGTGGAGATGGCATGCACAAACGAGTGTGTTATGTTACCTGCAGGGAACAGGACAGGGAATCTGACGTATCGGTCATATTTAAGATATACTGACTGCCAGTAAAGTGCTACAGAGAAGCTACTAAATCTCCAGAAGGGAAGTTTTGTGTACACTAAACTTAAGTGATAGGAATATTTCATTCAGAGTGACACACAGGAAAAACATTTCAGCCTTCATTGAGTGGTTATATTAAGACTAGGGTAATCCCAAGCAAGCAGTTTCTTAGGTGATGCAGTGGTAGGGACAGGGCAAGGTGAAGAAGGCTGACATCTTAGGTGATAATATCTGGTTGGCTATACTTTTTCTCTCCTGCTAAGGCTGAAACAGTGAGTTACATCGCCTGAAAGTTTGCAGAACTCAAGTTTCTGCCCCCTGAAAGTGGAAGAGTTAGGTGCAGGAACCGCCCAAGTGGAGGAACCCCCCCCCCCATCCCGAAATCCACCAGAAGGGCTTTCTGTGAGTGAGACACTGCCTGCTAGCATGATGTCCTTATTGGATGCAGCTTGATACAAAGACACATAAATTTTGCAGGATGGTATATGTAAAACCAATCTCCAGATAAGCATATAATTGTTGCTACTACCATTTGGGCAGAAAAATTAAAAATGCTACTATCCATGCATCAATTTTGGACCTAAACCAGGGTAAATCCGGAGAAGTTTGCCGGATAGTCTTCGTATATCCCTACTATTTTTTCAGGCTCTTGAAAAAGCAGTTTTATTGCACATAGCTTGCTGCTGATGTGACAAAATGGCAGTTCTGTATTATTAGAATTAGGAAGGGGCTGCTGTGTTCCACAGGCAAAGCTGCGACTTGAGACCCAGCTCACCGCTGCTGTGTACTGTGATAAGTAGATGTTAAGCATTGCTTATTAGTTTTGCCTGTCTGATCATCAAGTCAATGTATAACTAATAAATGAAAGCATATTTCTTAATGCAGACAAGAGTCTTCAGGGTCCTTTATCCTGTGTTTACAAGTATTAAATAATAAAGTTTTCAAAGGCAATGCTGGTCTATTCACTAGAAGACCAGTGGTCCACACAAGAACCCAGATCTCCCAGGTGTCTTGTCCAGCACTAACCACCACACCACACCAGCTCTCAGAGAGGAGCCGGCAAATTAGTGTCCAGGCTCCAGGTCACTCTGCTCACACTATGGTGCAGTCCACAGTACAAAACCTCAGGAAACAAAGGAGTTGGGAGAGGAGTTCTGGTCAAAAGACCTGCCCTTTATGTTAGGTATTTGTGGGGATTGACTAAAGAATATTCACTCAAAACAGGCTGAAGTTACGCGAATTAGATGAGAGCTTTATTGCCTCTTTGTGAGGTCAGCTTGGCTAATGATTCTCATGGTTTCCTAAGTACATAATCATCCTTTAGTAAGGGCACATACCACAGAAACTAATAGTTTACAGAAACTGTTGTTAAAATTGGGATGGATCCAGATGGAACCATGCTCAGAATAGTCCCACGGTGCAATCATTGGTGGTTCTGTATTCTACTCTGAATGTGACTCCCTTTGGACCCAGCCCCTACAAAAGGCCGATCAATTGCAGTGAACAATCTCTACAGTACACATACCAAGTTCCCAAAAGCTCTGCCACCCTGACGCTGCCATGCTAGTTACATTCAGTAAAGAACCTCCATACAACACAACCATAAAGGTAAAATGTAAAGCAATTTCATACAGATTCAAATATATTCTACAGTCTTGATTTAATGCCCAGTATAAGGGGCTGCATCCTACAAAGCACACAGTTTACCAAGCGGACACATTCTGCAATCGCACAGCAGCCACTGCTGCAAGATAAATTCTCCATTTCAAGGTGCATTCTATAACCCATCTTCCAAAAATCCTAGGGTATAGTACCTTAAAGAAAAGCGGGTATCAGTACATATACCATCGAAATATTGCCCACAGCCATACTGGGTCATTCACATCTGCAGACTGCACAGCCAAGCTCTGCAAACGTTTAAAAGTCGAGGATTCAAGCTCCTCTCGTCCTAGATATGTACAGACAGTGGCTGTTTTGAGGATGATTTGATGGAATGAGTATCTGTTCAAAAACACCATCTTTTGAGTGCTATAAGTCAGCCAGTTGTGCAGGAAAAATAAGCGTTCATTTTTCACACCGTGAATTTTCTTTCAAACGTTTTGGTAACACATTCATGTATTTTTTTTAAAGCAGCATATGTAAAGCACTGTCATGAGGAAAATGAAAAACAGGCACATACAAACCTGTTGGCAGCACTTTCCTCTTTAACAGGACATTCATTTTTATTTTCACACGTTATTTAGTCCCAAGAGCTCTTGAAGCTTTATTCAGGTGCTACATTTTAGCAAACGTACAGCTGGTAGGCTGTACAGCGCAGGTGACATGCACCAATGATTTCTGTAGACGGCTCTAATTCAGAGCCAGTGCTTGAATTCATATTCACATGGCTCACTCTTAGAAAATCAAACAGGCCATGGAACATGGCCTGTGCCCTAAGCAGTAAACAAGCAGAGTTGTTTGTGTACAGTTGATGAACACAGTGAGGGCCACGCACCCTGCAAAAGCAAAGATGTGGCCTGGAGGAAAAAAATATTTTCTATCAAGTTTAACACATACATTGTGCTAGCTTATCCTCCATCCCCACCTTACCACCTCATGGGAGCTGTCAGCTTTTAGTTCGATATGCTTCACAAAGACTAATGCATAACCAAAACCTTCTGTGCCTCAAATCTTAACACCAAGCTTAAAGTACTTGGTTTTAGGAGACACTTAAGAGCAAGGGATTCCAGGACCCATGTCAGACAGAGTGAGAACCTCTGGGAGCAGTTCACCTGGAGGCCCTTAATTTTACAAATCAGACTGTCATTAAAAGCCTCACATGCTCTGAACATGCAAGAAAAGGTAGTTTTCTTTCCAAACATGCATGCACACGAACATACAAAGCTGAAGAGCTCCAAGGATATTCAGAAGCAGTCCTGAGAGATGGAGTCCTCCGGTATAAACAAACTGAATTTGACAGAACTGGCATCCTGACGACAGAGTCCTAAGAGGGACTTGCAGAATATTGCTGTATTAAGTGCTTGTGGCATTGGTTGCAGACACGCTCTGGGTTGATGCTGGAGGGAAGAGGCAGTTCATTTGCTGAGCAATCTTCACAGAAGGCTCCCCCACAGTTCTTGCAGGTATGCTTAAACAGGGGAAGAAAAAAACTGGCTCCAGTTATTGTGAATCTTAACTCAGTCTACTACAAGTTTATTCTTTGCTCTGAATAAGAGGGAAACTTTCACCAGCTAATGTTTCAACCATAGACTCTTTGTTTTCCTCTGAGGAGTCTGGCAGATCCTGCAGCTGGGAAACTGAACTGGAATTGCACTTCATCACTATAGCGCCAAGGGAATGTGGGGGGGGGGGCAGGGGAGATCTCAAAATGCTCAGGGCTTGATTTGTTGGTTCATGAGAACTCCTTGCTCTGTTCCTAAAAACAAGGATTAGCAGTGACTGTCTTTTCCTCTTCCATACAGAAGGCCTATAAAGAAGGTCATAACAATTTCATTCCAATAATAGCAGAAAAATGTGGATCTACTATTCCTACCAAAAATGTGACAGATAAATTGGTCCTTAGAGCAGAAGCAAAATTGGTCCAAATTTACCTTTCTTTTGTTTCTTGTGCTTTCTTCTTGACACAACTGGCAGAGGGCTGACTTTCCAGGGCCAAGAGTCTGCTCCTAAATTAAAAACATGCTCTCATTTAAGCATACAATAAGATTCCTGGCCAACCTTTTGACCTCATTTACAATTTGCTACCCTCCTTTCCACCTTGAGTAGTTAAATATCAGCAGAACTGCTAATTCAGCATCTTTACATTTATTTATAATGTGAACTTGGACCATTCAACAGAAAAATAAATATATCTTTTGTATAACACTTTCACCTGTTCAAAAATGAAAAAACCCTGTCAATTTCAAATTGCCCTCATACAAATCTATGCTGCATCCACACTCAGAATATTGTGTACAGTTCTGTCACTGCACCTAAAAAAGGATCGTACAGAACCGGAGAAAGTGTGGGAAAGCGCAATTGGAATGATCAAGGGGTTGGAGCAAATCCGCAGTGAAGGAAGTTTACAACAGCTGAGATTGCTTAGTATAGAAAAAAGGTAAGTAAGACATGATAGAGATCTACAGAATTATGCATATCGTGCAAAATTGGACAGGGAGACATTTTTCTTCCATAATACGAGAACCCAAAGAGGTCAACCCATGAGGCTGATTAGTGGGAGATTCAGGACAGATAAAATGAAGTCCTCCTTCACACAATGCATAGTGAAATTATGGAACTCACTTCCACAAGATGTAGTAATGCCCACCAATTGAAGGAAATGGGCCAAACTCATGGAGGTGAAGGCTACCAATGATTATGCCTCCTGACGGCTCTGTGCTACTTCTAGTATCAGAGGCAGTGTGCATGTGTACTCACTCCACTTGCTGGGGAACATGGGCAAGTGGATGCTGCCACACTCCTGCCACGCTTACGTGTTTCTCATGGGCAGCTGGTTGGCCTCTGTGTGAATCGATGCTGGACTGGAGGGACCACTAGTCCAATCCGGCAGGGCTCTTATATTCAAAGTATTTTACAAGCATTCTTTTAGCTAGTTGCAATCCTTACAAGAAGCATGAAGAAAGATCAGTATTATCCCACGTGACAGACGGAATATCAGTGCAGTTCAAAGTAGGCTGAAATTGTCAAACCACTTACTGCCAAAACAATCCCACTAAAAATGTTCCTGTTTGGCCCCAAGCCCGAGCACATGTTCTAATGCTTGAGAGTTCTGGCCAATTGGAACTGACAGGTTTTGTGAGATTGTGGGGTTAGTGGTTTTTGGAGTGGCTAATGAGGCTTCTAAAAAGTTACCCATTCATCTTTCAGGCAGATGTAAGATGGTATATGAAAAAATGCCAAGTGAAAAGCAACTAAAATTGCTTAATAAAAGGAAAGAATGTGAAGAACTGAATACATAAAAAGTAGTGATTATATTAAAGGAAACACAAAAACTAATTTCCAATAAATTATGAGTTACTTATATAAGCCTGATTCAAAAGGTAGTCCAGATAAAGCACCCTTATAGTTATACAATTGTATAATTGTACAAATTGGATTGTAAAGCACCCTTACTCAGGGTTAAAGGGTTGTTTGAATAGTAAAAGGTCATAATGCTTTAATATGCATTAATCTGAAGAGTTTTCAATTGTCAAGCTATGATTAAAGGCCTAAAGTTTTGCTCCAGTTAATGGTCAAACATCAACAGTTAATACTGTTTCGGCCAGATGCATTTAACATATGCCGATTGCTTAAAAGAATCTATGGAACTGAGCACAAAATGGACAAGCATCACACCACTACAGTACAGCAGGAAGAGCAAAAGGGACAAGGCTGTGAAGAAACAAGTAATGAGAATATAACGTTTTAACTGCAGTAAGGTACATTTCTTGTTCCACGCCACTCCTTCCATTTAAGGTGCCAAATCTCAATATACAATAAGCTTGGAAATCCATGAAAATGGACAAAAGCCATTCATTGTATAAATAAACCAGCATTCCAAAATCATGTTTTAATAAAAATATGTCATGAAGATAACATCATCTTTTGGCATCCAACACAAGGTACTCAAGCTCATATTACACCAGAAGAAAACAAATTACTTACATGGTCCTCTTTCAGGCTAGCGGGTATCCTGTAATGGGAAAAAGGTATCCACTCAGCATGCCGTTTCATCCACATCTTAACTAATAGAATAAAGACTTTGTGTGCATATAGTCAGAGCAATCATTTAGCGTTATCTCATGGCTGCAAAACTGACCATCTGACTCAAATCCAACACATTTAGGATTAAACAGAATTTAAGGACGGGGTTATTTTGCTCAGCTCGTACCCGCTTGGAAGAACCATGTTCTCTTTCACAGGTGCTCTCCACTGAGAATCTCCTTCCAAGAGTTTATTTCCTGCATCCTATTGATTGAAACAGATAGTGAGGAATCAAAGCAAAATGACCAGACCGGTTATTATGTACCTGTCCCTGCATGTTCGGTGCCCAATGATTCCTTATTCCTAGCAACAGCCCTCTTCAGTGCTGTAATAAGAAGATTCCAGAGAACATTTGAGCTTTAGGAAGCCATGGAATTGCTTACAACTATTTGAAGAACACAGGGATCAGTTGAAAGATCTAATGAGAACTGAGATTTCTGAAATTGTCATGTGCTTGTCATGAGCCTAAGCAACACAAAATCCTTGCTAATCAATGCAGGCCTCCCCCATGGGGTCTGGAAATTCCAGCTGGTGCAAAATCCAGCCACCAGCATACTTGTGCAAGCTAGACACTTCATATCACACATATTTTGCATATGTTGCATTGGTTTTCCCCTTTGTTAGTGTTTTGGTACTGACTTTTAAAGCCCTGAATAGTTTGGGTCCAGCTTGTTTGAAGGACCATTTAAGCCTACAGATACTGTGGACTGCAAATCTCATCTAGTCTAGCCTGTGCAGCCAATGGTGAGGGACAAAGTCCAGCCACATCTGAGGGTCATACCTTCCCCATCTGTGACTGACCCCCATATGAACCTGTTTGAGAATCACGCATTCCCCACCTGTGACTTGGCTCCTGAACCTATGAACCCCTCACAGATTCTCTGTTCTAAGATCAGTCAGGTTGGTGGGTACAAGGCCTTGTAAGGCCTACACCGATGGAATCTGACCTTCCAAGGCCTGCATATGAGAGAATGTTGGGGGACTGTAAACACCTCTCTCTCTCATTCTCTCTCTCTCTGCCAATGTTTGCTTATTTATGTGTTTGTTTAACCAAGCCACTGTTTTTAAAGTTTTGATGTTTTTCTGGTTCCCTGAATCCCATTTAATCCATTGCTCTTTTATTACATTATTCATCAGCTGTTTTGTTTTTAGCATTTTTATTGCAAGCTGCCTTGTGAGAGTTTGCCCTCAAAGGTGGGACTGAAGTAAATCAAGTAAATAGGTGCACACTGTAAATAGGTGCAAGGACACTGAACTCATTTCCGTGTAGGAAAAAGCTTGTGAGTGGCAAGTTGTGGCACACACCACAACTGCGCCCACACATCCCTCCTTTCCTCCCTACACACGTCCTAGAAATCTGTATCCACATATAGATGTGTACAAGCACGTGTGCACACCGGACAACACAGCAATTGCCCTAAAGAAGGGTCTGCCTATAATACGCGCAGCGCTTTTTCCTTAAAAGGAAATTACTTGTACAGGAGAACTACCATCTTTCAATCATACCTGAAGTTGCTTCACAATATCTCTGTGACAATCAGACCCCCCCATAACTGATAGGAAATACAAGCCAGAAGGAGACATAAGCAGATTCCCAAGTGTCGGGGCTAGAGGGAAATCAAGATCATGCCACAGTGAAGCATGCCGAGAAGGAGCATTACTGTTTTTGATCCAGTCTTCTGGAAGCCTTTGCTTTGGCTGGGCAAGCTTTTATTTTCTGGAATTCCATGGTGGGAATGTGACCATCGGTCTCGTTCCCGTTTCAGTTCCAGTTCAAGCTGACTCCTGCAGTGATGGCACATGGAGAAAAATCTTCTATAAAACACGCTTGAAATTACTGAACCCCATTTTTAAAAGCCATTTGAAAAATGAACCCCATTTTTGAAAGATGATCGCATTCTTCCCCCTCCAGAATGGCACCTCTCAGTAACAAGGCAAAGCTCATTGAAGAAAGACCATCATATACAGGTTGCAAATATCTAATAAAATTTGAATAATCAAGCAAGTTCCAATTTATTATACAGAAACCCAGGACAACTGTACTTCAGTAACCAGTGAGCCACCGTGACAGGTTGGCTTCCTGTAGCAGGAAGTAAATCCAGAGGCCTCCCAATCTTTTCAGGGGCAGAGGTTCTCTGTCATTCTCTCCTTCGTTTGGATTTAAGAAAACAGATACCCTCTCTGTTAGAAGTAGCTCCCACTGGTATCCTTCACTGGCCGTGGCTCTAGACTCATTGGCTCAACTAGTTCTTTCACAGACTATAACCGACTGTTGGGGCTGGCACTAAGTCCCATTAAACTCAACAGCCAGGTTCGGCCCAGCAGCACACCACGGCCGAAGCCACAGGGGGTTGTGGGGTTTGCCAGCAGCCATTTTGAATATTCAGTCCCGGGTGGGGAGTTGTCATGGTCTGTTTTGTCCAAGCCTGAACGGTGGAGAATGCTTAGGAAGAATCCTCAAAAGGCCTGTGGTGTGTTGTAGGGCTACCTGAGGATCACACAGGAACCCTCCGCAGGGCACTGAATATTTGAAATGGCCACTGGGATGCATCACAGGGGGCTGTAATGAGTGCACAAACCAGCCCATGTGGGCTTACTTCTGAGGAGATGCATGCACGACTGCACCCTGTGGATGCTGTTCTGCATGAGGGGGAAAGGGAATGATTTCTCCTGCACTTGTCTGATCTTCTTATAGTTATTTTTACTTAGCAGTGTGAACTAACTTGGGCTACATGTAATGGCAGCCAATGTGCAATGCATGCACCTACTTCCCCCACTTTCACATGGTACAATTTTGGAATATGCAGAATCACTCCCTGCAACAACCAAATCCAACCCCAGAGGAGGCTGGATTTCTTCCTCAAAGCACTACAGGCTTGCTTGCATTCATCCATCCATCCATCCATCCATCCATCCATCCAAATCTTAATATTTATACACCACCCCGTTCCCATAGTCTCTGGGTGGTGCACAAGAAATTAAACCCAACAGTGAGCAGTGCTGGCTAAGGCAACCTGCCTGTCAAGTCCATATAGGTACATGCAGGCACCGATCCATGCAGCAAGCCAGTAGGTGGTAAACCATGCCCATGGTTTTGAGAGTTGTCTCCTCCTCTTTCTGGGCACCGAACGCCTCTTGAGCAGCCTTGCTGACTGCTCGTCCCTCTGAGTGAGCCTGCGCAGACGGCTTCAGAAGAGCGGCAGGTAAAAGGCCTGCATCAGTGCTCACAAGGAGGGCAAGGCACCTGTGTGTGTGTGTGTTGCGGGGGGGGGGGGGGGCTGGTAGTGGAAGCAGGTGCTGGAGGATGTCTTTCTTCCTCTGGGGAAGCCCACTGTGACAGTACCTAAGAAACTCCCACAAACCAGAAAGCGATTCAAAATGAAGGTACTTCCCCGCCCACCAAAACAAAAACAAAAAACCAGGGATCTTTTCACCGCTGCTTGATGAGCTGTTCAATTTCCAGTTGAAGGCTATTGATCTTATCCCCAAACTCCAGCTTGAAGAGCCGGTTGTCCTCCTCCAGCGACTGGCGCTCTTTCTCTGACTGTTGCAATCTGGATTTGAGCCACATGAACTTGTGATAAAAAACAAAAGCCATGGTGGGGAGGAAGACTGAGATTAAACAATAAATTAAAGAAAGCAAGCTTGATGAAAGATGGACGGGAAGGTCTAACGGGAATGGGAATTGAGAAGGGTCAAAAGAGTAGCTAAAGAAATATCAAAATGTAGGTGAACCAGGCAGAAAAAGCTTCTATTTTCAATTTTTTTATTCTATTACTACAGCTTACAGTCATTAGATGATAAACATAAAACATCACTTTTATCCATAGTCAAAGCAAGTCTCAAGTACACAGTATTTGTAAGGTTTTTTTTTTTTAAATTTACGTTACACTGCAGCTTTATACAAGTAACTGGAACTTGCATAATGCGATACCTACTATATTAAGAAATTAGTGCATGTATCTGGTCTCTTCCACAACTGTTACATCAGGTTAAACACACAGGGCTCCAGACTGAATACAGAGTCGTGGACACGTACTTGGGATTCCCAGCCTACTTGAGGCTTTGCTGCAATGGGGCTGGGGGCAGGGGAGTTTACTTTCACAATATAAAACTGATTTCAGGCTACATGTATTCACCGGCCATGTGACAAATACTCAACACGATGGCTTAACTGGAGGGCAAACGGAGAGGTGGAGGGTATCACTCAGCAGAACCCTAAGGCGATCGATCGCACATGCCTGTCCACCACGGACCTGCCATCTTGAGGCGCGCCGTGGCATGTGGCCGGGGCACGTGGCAACTTTCTCCACATGCCTGCTCAGAATGTGCATGGAAATCACTTCCTTAAAAGTGCTGCACCCACACCAAAGTCTACAGACAGCACAGAGAAAGGTGGCATGGGCCCCTCTGGGCATTCCTACTGGCCTTTCCAGGGTGAGTGGCGGACAGCATAGAAATCCAAGCCAAAGGGGTGGGGAAGAAAGGGGCAAAGAATCTGGGCACTCTGTCACAGAATCCAGGACCATTCCAAGAACAACATTCCCTCTTTTCCAGCCCTCAGCCTATTTAAGGTGGGGATGAGGACAGATTCTGCTTGTAACAACATTCTAAGGGGTCGTACTCTATCCCCCTTTGAAATCAGGGCACCTGAGGTTCAGGGTTGATAACTGTGTTTTCTGCTGTTCTAAAGTTTGTCTCTAATGGGCTTTTTAAAGAGCCGGGGTTGTAGGTTAGGATTTTGAAGCAGTGTGTTTAGGAAGGAGCAATTCCTCCCCGTGGTTTTGACAGAGCTGCACCCCTGAGTGCTCTCATTTCACACCTGCTGATAAATCAAAATGAGTGATCAGCCAGAACATGTGGCCCATGTCAAGCCTGCCAGGTGGATTTTAGGAATGTGAAAGCTCAAAATTCTACCTCCAAGAAGAGGTGGCTGGCATTGTAATTGTTCTGGCGGTATCACATTTGGATATCTACTGAAAACATTTAACCCCGAGACAGAATTTTAAATGGTGCCTGCACTGCCTGAACAGTTTACTTCAAATGAGCTGGGTACATTTACAAGCATGCTACACTGAAGTGCAATTCTCCGGGTTTCTTATTTTTTTAAAAGAAAAGAGAACAGACCTAACAAATCAGCTGCTTTGCCAAAGACAGCTCTGCAAGCTTGCAAGAGAACACAATTCTGCCCCAAAGATTTTAAGATGAGGCAACAGTTCTTTCCTCCATCTCTACTAAAGTTATTTTCCCCCTACTCTCCAATTTGCTTGAACACAAAACAGGGAATTTTTATAAGAGGGAACTTAAAAAAAAAGGCAGACTACTGAAACTAAAAATAAACCAAAGCCCTATTTGGGGTATCTTGACTGGTCTTACTAATGACTATCTACATCCACCTTCCTCAATCTGACACCCTCCAGATATGCTTGACTACAAGTTCTAGTCCGACACACCTGGAAGATACTAGGTTGAAGGCTGACTTAAACACTTAAGCCTGTTTAGGGACCAGTAATGGGAGCACTTGCAGCCTCCAGAAAGAGGCACCCCAATTTAACCCTAAACAACAACAACAAAAAATGTTTTTACACTGCAACATGGTGTTTATCTTGACTCTAAGCTTTCCTTGGTCTTTCACTGCAACTCTTCCCATATCTGAATCAAATACTTAGGGTCAAATTTTAGCAATAGCAAAAGGCAACTTTAAACAACAACCAGGTTATTGTATGCCATAGCTACTGTCAATGACTGGCCAGCAGTAAATCACTACCTATTCCATTCATCCCTCTTAAACAAGGTAAGAACAACAAACTGTTTTGTAAAATACATGATTCCATCTTTCCTACAAGAGGAAGAGAGGGGAACACACACTATCATGAAAGTCCTTCAGGAAAAGAGAACCACTATCTATTTTATTTTATTTGGAAAATAAAGGCAGAGGTAGAAGACAATGCAGAGATTAAAAGGGTATCTGGTTTTTTGAAAGAGCTAGCAACTGGGCTCTGCACTCATGCCACTTAAAGGGGTGAATGAAAAGATTAACGAATTATTTTTCCCAGTGCAAAAGGACTGGAATGGGCTTGCTATCGTGGCTTGTCCCTTCACTTCAAAATATTCCAGTGACAGCTTGGTGCAAATTTGGTCAGCATTATTTATTCTGGGTTATCTCTGTTTCTCAGCTTATTTCTTTATGCTCACACACAGTGGGTTATAGCACGATAATGGGGTTGTCTGGCAAATGGTCTTAGGAAAGTCGTCTTGGAGGAGATTGCAGAACAATGCAGTTTTATTTACCCACATTTCAAAGAGGGTGAAAAGTGCAAGGAACTGAGAAAATCCAGGCAGAAACACTTTGCCTTGCTCTAAAGTGAAAGAGTATAACCTGACCACCCTTCAGTTGGAATAACTTAAAGCCAAGTATCATCATCATCATCATCATCATCATCATCATCATCACTATTGTTATTTTTCCTTTTATACTGCCCAATAGCGAGGCTTGCTGGGTATCCAGGGGCTGCTGCATTTCTTGCATTGTGTGCTGTGCAGGCCCCGGCATGTTGGACAGACTTCCAAATAACATGCATTTGCAATAAATGCTTGTGGGGAAAGCGTGCAGTGTGGACAAGGCTCTGGTGAACCAGGACGAGGCCCTTTTGATGATGACCAGAATCATACTTGTGATGTGAGCTTCTCTTAGACTTGCGTTTGAGAGGAACGAGAGCTACAGGATCACAGCTCGCAGCAGTGCCCAACTGCTCTCAGCTCTCATGTGTATATTTTCTTCGTCTATTTCACAACAAGGTAACAGAGAAAACTACCTCAGCTTTCCTTAAATTTAAGCATGGGGGGCAGAATGGAGTTCCCCTTTTCCAGTATCTTGTCAACAGTAAAAAGTTTGTGCTGTATACACTTCATATCAATTATATGTACAAAGCCACAAATCTCATTTTACTTGTGATTTTCTGAAGTCAAACTGCTTGTAGTTTAGTAAAGTTTACACAACAAATAACTGGGAAAGTTATAGACTAACTTTTTCTACTTAAAAAAAACCAACAGATTTTTTAAAATGTAAAAATCCTCCAAAATCCAAGTCAACTTTAGGTGACAACTTTAAATCTGACATCTAAATTCTTGACTTTATTTTGCTTTTGCCTCATAGCTGAGTTGAGATGTCAGAGTTGTGAGGTGACCAGCTGCAAAAAGAAACAAGGAAAACAAGGAAAAAGAAAGAAACGAAAGGCCTAATGGGACTTCTGAATCAGTTTGTTTGCTGCACTATTTAAGGTTTTTGCCTGTTTCACCAAATCCTTTTCACTATATGAGAAAAGGGCATAAAGATGATATGAAAAGAAGGTGGGAGGAGGAAACAGACAGTAGAAGAAAACATCAGTTAAGTCAACAAATACCAAAGACTAAACATCACCAAGCTTTTATGATGCGTGTGCTAAGATACAACTTTTAAACTTCATTTAGTAGCAGCAGGAGGTGCAGGTATAAACATATACGTAGTAATGTTGTGTGTTTGCAAAATTGATGTCTTCAAGCACAGGCGCTTTTGAAAAGATGCTCTTCATTGTTGGAAGTTTTCTGAAAGTGCTGAAATCACATTAGGCCAAATTCTGACCTTCTCTGGTTGAATGTCAGTCTACATTACCTAGCAGCTCTGTATGCGTAAAAGGAGCTACACAAAAAAATGCATGCTCACTTCTTCAGGGATCCTACAAAATTAATTCTAGCCATCTCCTTCATACTTTCCCCAAGACTGCTACTACCTAGTGTTTTCGGAAGGACATGTTGTCATCCCTCTTCATGTGGTCTATAGGCTGCACAGGCCCGCCCTCCTGACCCTTTATGAAGTCCCCTGCTGAGCCACTGAAATTCAGTGGATGAGACGGTCCTTGAAAAGCAGAAGATGAGTTTGCCACAGAAACTCGGCATTCATTAACAGAAAAAGTGTGATCTTTACCTGCTTCTATTTTACCGTATTTCAGTGGCAAACAGCAAATGGCTGCTTTTCAAAGATGCTTTCTCATCCCGCCACTGTGTAGTGGCACAGTGATGGAGACATGAGGAATGACCCCAGTGGTGCCCAGAAGGAAATGGTAGCCACCCAACCCACCAGCTGCTTTAGGTATTCCCGTCAGGACAGCACAACTACAATTATACATTGCTTAAAGAAGCAAGTTTCAATTTTACCTTTGTTCAAGCAGTTTAATGGTTGCAGCCATCTGATTTGTCTTCTCCTCCAAGCGACTGTTTAGTTCACTCTTCTGTTTCACTCCCAGGTCTGAACTCTGGAAATGGAAAAGGTCATACTTCATCCTTAGTGGTGAAATGGTAACTATAGAAGAACATTAAGGTTACTTTCTTTATCTGTTTGTATAAAAGCAATGGCACACACACTAAAACAATTTTATATTCAAAATTAAACACAGGCTAATGTTATAACTGGCACAACGGTGTGAAGCAATAAGGAAAAATTTTCATGCAAAACACGGAACATTCTAAAAAAGCAAGGACAAAAGAATTATATTGTTGCTAATTGTCTGCTAATTTTGATCCAAAATTCCACCAATTCATCTGTTATTCTTAGTTTATTCATAAGTCAGTCCACTGAGGTAGGCAATTCCCATGTTTTGACAAGCATCTTGTCAAAACATCTTGGATGTTTAGCTAAGCTTTGTGAATTTAAACTAAATCAATTTCAGTAAGCGATAGCGTTATTCAAAATGTTCATTTATGCATCACTCAGCAGCATCACAATGTCAATTAACAGTTATGTCCAATGTTTTGAACAGGCAAAAATATTCATTCACAGTGAACATTGGCCACAATTTTAGAATGGAGACCTGAAATGTAAAGAGGACAGAAATGCCCTTATTTCAGGGGAGCATGACTTTGAGCCCCATTTCAGCCATAAGCTCACCAAGTCATAATCTTGCCCAAGTCACCCTCTCATCCACAATTCCTCCTTATAAATGGCAATTATACTGCTCTGATGCCACTAAACAACCTTATTGTACAACTGGAACTTTAGAAGTACCTTAGAAGTAAATTGTACAAAGGTTGAGTTTCTTAACGCAAGTTTTATTATGTTGGCCCTATGTCCATAAAACCAGAGCTCGCCATGCCTTTAACCTTTTGTCAGCAGAGTAGGCAAAGACTGCAGGCTAGTCGCAAAAGCTGGATTGGAAATGCCTCAGGTCTGGCATGAGCCGTACTCTCCTCCATACAGGAAAGCTTGTCAGTGAATCTTGGTTAAGAGCTGGAGGGTGTACAATTGGCAAGAAGGTGAGAGAGTGCACACAGCCCCTCATTCCTTCTGAAACCTCTTATCCAGGGTTAAGGGACATTTAATGTTCTATCTGTACCAGCCCAGATGGCTCACGGTGGGGAAGCTGCAGAAGCAGCACAGTAGAGGAGAAGCAGAGATGCACTCTCCAGAGACAGAGACACCCCAGTAATGGTTCTTCAGAAAAGGGCCCCGCTAGCTGTTGTCCAACAGAAGCTGTTGCAGGCTTCTGTATGTTTTTTTTTCTATAGCAACGCTACCCCTCACGTTCAAAGGGAAGTAACAGTCTTTAACTGTGGAAGCCAAGTGAAGCAGGGGTGTAGCATATGAAGGGTCTCTTGATGAGCCTCCAAGCTGAGCGAGCCTCTGACTGGGAATCAGAACCAGACTGCTGAGCTAGTCCTGCTTGCTTACCTGCAGCTTGAAGGAAAGTTCAAGTTTTAGGGCCCTGAGATCCTCAAGTTGCTGCCTGAGTGCCACCAGCGCATCTTGCTTCTCACACACATCTTTTTCCAGCATCTTCATGGCCAGTTCCATTTCTTGTCTCATTCCAATCTGCACTTCCAGTTCTTTTTCCACATCCTATACCATACACACACAAAACACATATAATATCTGGAATGTATCAAAAACACTTACTCCAGTGGTGGCGAACCTACGGCACGCGTGCCACAGCAGGCACGCAGAGCCCTCTCTGTGGGCATGCGAGCCAAGTCGCCCCAGCATCGCCCCAGCAGCTGAGCATTGGATACAAGTGCATGCTTGGAAAGGAGTAGTGGTGCCAGGCGATAACGTCACAAGCCACAACATATTAGCCGCGGCACATCTGAGCTTTCGCATGGCTGTTCAGTGCACTGCCAAGTGTGTGTGTGTGTGTGTGTGCGTGCGCACGCAAGCTTTGACTAACAGCGAGGTGTTTTTTCTCAACAAAAATCCTCAGTTTTCAGGTTTTATTGCAGTGTTGGCACGTTGTGATAAATAAGTGGGTTTTGGGTTGCAGTTCGAGCAATTGGTCTCTAAAAGGTTCACCATCACTGGCTTAGGGTTAGAAAAACGCAGTGTCCTGGCATGATTTTCATGGCTGGAATGTGTTCAGAATGGGCAGAATAGATGAGCTATGCAGAAAAAGTTACTCAAGGAAGGCTTTTTCAAAATCACCCACTTTTCAATGGAACTTTTTCCTTATATTAGGGTTAGGGGTGTGCACCAGAGTAGAGTTAGGGTTAGGAAAACGAGGTCTTCTGGCATGATTTCGATGGTTGGAATGTGTTTAGAATGGGCAGAAATGTTGAGCTGTGCAGAAAAAGCTACTCAAGGAAGGCTTTTTCAAAATCGCCCTCTTTTAAATGGAACTTTACCCCTATATGAGGGTTAGGCAAGTGCACCAGGGTAGGTTCAGGCCAGTGATGGCAAACCTATGGCATGCGTGCCACAGCGGGCATGCGAGCCAAGTCACCCCAGCAGCCAAGCTTCGGATAACAGTGTACATAGGGGCCACGTTCATGCTCAGAAAGAAGTAGCTACACCAGGCGATGAAGTTATGTGCTTTCGCAAGGCCAGTCACTGCACTGCCAAGGATATATATATATATATTTGCTTGGACTGGCTGTGAGTTGTTTTTTCTAAACTAAAACCTCAGTGTTCAGGTTTTATTGTAGTGTTGGCACTTCGCAATAAATAAGTGGGTTTTGGGTGGCAGTTTGGGCACTCGGTCTCTAAAATGTTCGCCACCACTGGCTTACACTGACACTGAAATTGGAGCTGCAGGAATTCTACTATTTGTCCAGACAGGGGATGAGATAACTAATTTCAACACAAATTAAGAAGAGCAACAAAGATATTTTGCCATAAACAAAGCAACGGTATGCGCTTTTGCATATTTAATGCTACCAAATTTATTAAGGGATGAGTTTACATAGGCTAGAACCTACTTTATCAGAAGCATTATTCTTCCACCCTATGAAGTAAGATAAAAAGCTCATGCCACAAGAAATGTAGTGGTTTTTAAAAGTGCCCCAGAGTTCTCGCTGTTCTCTTTCAAAACCTGGCCTAACAAGGGTCAATTGCTGAGAGCACATGCTTTGAATGCAAACAATTCCAAAGTTCAATCCCATGCATCTCCAAATAAGAAAGAGAAAGATCCTTGTACGAGATCCTAGTAAACCAGTCCTAAGCTTAACAAACCCAGGGTTCTGATTCAGTACAGGGCAGCTTCTAACGTCCCAGATACTACATCAACATGGAGGGTCTAATTAGGGTTGAGACAGGCTTAGGGGTTTGGGCTTTTTTAGCACACTGGATATTCTTTTCTTTTTCTCCACAGAATATTATGGACCTGTCACATTTAGGAATCCTGCATGAATTCCACAGAATGGGTACCCATTTCCATTATGAGCTGGCATGCTCACTCTTACCAAAGTATTCTGTATGACAGCATTATGGTACAGAATTATAAGATCATCTGAGCGTATGCATCTGAGCTTGTCATTGGCCCCTCTCTAATATCTATGCAATGCCACACCCACTGCACTTTCTGCTCAAAGCATATCTCACTGCCATCTAAGAGGACAATGAATGTTAGCCAAAAGTTCTGACTGACACAACAGCTATTGCATATTGCATTACTGAGAATAAGACAGTAATTATCTATCTTTCTACCATATTCCAAATATGGCCAAGGATTCATATTTCTACCACAATTTTCTCCTTTCCATTTTATTAACACTTTTGCTGACTTCTCACCAAATTGAACCTTTTTTCTGTGCTCCACTATAAATAACACACCACAACCGCTAGACAACTTAGTATCTTGCCTGTCATTATTTGGAGACTTCCACTACCTTAGTGAAGGTATTGCATATGAAAGAAGTCCAGTATTATTGTGGCAAATATGGCCAAAATTCTGCTGAGAAGCAGACACCTGAATTCTGGTGTGATCTTCTCATCCCTGCCTTATATGCAGCTGCTTGGTACAAAAGTTAGTCATATAGCTCTGCTCCATGTCCCACAGAAAAACTTTTTGATCTTCCTCTTGCTCCAGAGAAGGGCCTCCACTGAATGAGATCCACAGCGTCCCTTCTGATGTCCACTTAAACCCTAAGCAGAAAGCAGCCCAGCTCACCAGCCGCAGCTGTGTTTCCTCCTTCAACTGTTTCCGTGCTTCAGTAAGAGCATGTCCATCCGCAGTTCTCTCTTGCTTAGTTACCTGCAATTGATCAACAGACCAGGAAATCAAATGAAACAGGAGATTTTTGGTACTCAGCCAGTATTCCAATCATTAAATAATGCCAGTGCTGTCTGTTCTCTATGCACTGAGTGCTACCTTATCTGAGTGGATGCTAAGAAGCTAGTTCGGATGGCATGAGCTACAACTGGCTAGTAATTGTGGAATTCACAGACCAGCACTGCACCACAATTTAAATGTTTAATATTCATTTGGACTGTATGAACTGGGTCATTATGTCGTAAACAAAGAGCCTGAGCAAGAAGGTACATTGCAGTAAAGCGCCCACAGAATAAAGAGGTCCTGGCCAAATGAACTGAATTGCAGGGGGCAAGGAAGAGAACTCATGGTAATTACTAGACAAAATGTACGTACACACACACACACCTTTCTGTTGCATTCCAAAATAAATGAACTTTCTTCTTTAACTCGCTCCATGTCTTCTTGTAGTGTTATAATTCTGTTGTTTGCAACAGCAAGCTGTGTCAACAAGAAGAATGCAAGATGTTAATAAAACCACTATTTTTGAATTTTAGTGATACTTTCTTTGTAGCAGGTACTTAAAACCTTATGCGTAGTGGCCAAGGGGCTGGACTTTGACCAGAGAATTCCTGTTGCATAGGTACATCTTCGTTGGCTAACAATTACGGAAGCTGGACAAGAGAAGAAAGCCAGCATGCCCTCTATAAGAACTGTAGCCCTGATAGTTTCCAGTGGTATCAAGCAAAGTAAAGGCTAATCCAAAGATATGATGCTACCACCCTCCATTAAAGTGGGCCATTAGTTGCTTATGCATAGTAACATTAAATATGCATACATTTATATGCAGACACGCTTAATTTTATTTTTACATCATCTGTCACACCAGACCCCACTGCATTTCTCCATGTAGGAAAGTATATGAATCATTAAATCTGAATTCACTTAATGTCTGGAATTCATAGAATGATAGAATAGTACAGGTGGAAGAGGGCATGAAGACCACTGGGTCCCAACCCCCTGCTGTTGCAGGACACCAAGTTCGGCTGTTGCAGAATTTGTTTTTTCCAAACAGTCACAAAACATATTTATTTCACTTTACCTACCTCCTCTGTAAGTTTAGTGTTGGATTTTTCCAAAGCATCAACCTTTGCCTGCAGATTATTGACTGTGGCACTGTCAAATTAGAGAGAACTTTAGTAATTATATTGAAATGTAAGAATTCAGCATTAGTCAGCCAATTCTTCTAAAGATCATATACAAATAGGAAATAACTCTTTACCTTAAATGTCTATTGAGTTCCTCTACATAATTTTTCTGGTCCAGAATTGCAGTAATTTGACCATCTCTGGAAATGGGAAACAGTGAATATTAACAAGCAGCAGCTAAACATTATAGATCAAAGTAACATGTTCAGGGTGAAAAGGAAGAAAATTTGTTCTATTGTTGTTGAACATAGGAAAAACAACCCAAAAAAGCACTAAGAGCTGAGCAAAAGTTTATTATCTTGCTCTCTAGGACCAGACAAAAGAAACATTGGCTTGACTACAAGATGTTGTGGTCTAAATAGACAAAAAATCATTTGCAACAAGGCAGCAAACAGGTTTGAAATAGGTTTGTGAACAATGATTTATAACTGTGGTTTGGAATGATCACCAAAGTCTTCCACCCTCCAGATACTATTGTACCAGGAAGATCAGAGTGGACTTCCAAAGCCAAGCACAGAGAGGACAAACCAGAAAAGACAACAAGTCTCTCTATATCAGATGTTTTAGCCTACAATTCCCATGCATTGGCTATTGCTGGCTAGGGCTTATGAGCACTGTAGGTTAAAACTGCCAAAACTTTAAAAGGTCCATCAGTTGCACACTCCTCCTCCAAACTATAGTTTGCATGCTGTAAATTCAGAAGCTCAAAACAAGATTTAGATTCTGAAATGAGTAACTGAAAGTAAAACCCTGATGCGCAAGAATATATAGGAAAAAATCACATAGGATGCAAGGGAAATATGAGGAAAGCAAAACAAAACATATTCCCCGAAGGTTTCAGAAATGGTAATCCATAGGTACAATGAATAATTAAACCACAATTTGTGTCACCTACTGTTTTATACAGTAGCATGCAACTCTCTGTAAGTTAAGTCACAGTTGCTCTACTGAGTATGTTTAAAGTATATATACCAAAAGAAGTGTCGGCTCTCACACCAATGCCTCCACTTCTGCACTTCAAAGTTAAAGGCATATTGATGCGACATCTTGTGATTTGTACTAGAGCCACATCATCTCCCAAAACAAAAAAGCCCCCGAGATAATGGCCTACACTAGCATTCCTATTAGCATGTTGATAGTCTTCATCTATTTTTTTTGCTTATGAACCATTTCAGCGTTAAATGCTGCCTACAAAGTGTTCGAAACTTTCATGATGTTGTGTTAAGCCTGTCGCTGCATGCTAGAGTTATCGCGCGGACTGGACTTGCAAGATCCGCGTTCTAGTTTTCACCTGGCCATAATGCTCACTTGGTAATTCTGGGCCAGTCATTGACTTTCAGCCCAACCTACCTCACAGGGTTGTTGTGAGGATAAAATGGAGAGGAGGAGGATTCTATAACCTGACTTGGATTTCTTCAAGGAAAAGGGGAAGGATATAAATGCTATTATCAGGAAAATACAAAGCAATATAGAAGACAAGTTTCCACTAAAATACAGCTTCATGGGCCAATTTGAAACACTAAGACAGGGCAGAAAACATTACTTACCCCTCATTACCCTTACTGCTGTTCCCATCCTTTAAGTACATCGAAAAATCAATAACTCCAACCTACAGTAGAAGATAGTAATATTCTTGTCAAACACAATTAGATATCTTCTTACTTGTAACTTTCTTATTAACAGAAACTGAATGTCTTATTTGAGACATGGGTGATAACGTGGCAGATGAGTCGGATCTACGCTCACGCCTTCCCATTTTTCTTTTTCTTCAGCATTGATCCCATCTCCCTACTGCTTTTTATACTCAAAACATTTTGCTCTTGGCACAGAAATAAAGCATGAGACAATCTTGGTATATGCATACTATCACTTGCAAGCTCATTATCTGTTCTGCTGGATCATAGGCACAGCATTTTAATCCACTGGTGCATTTCGAAAATTCAGCTGCTCAGAAAAGGCAGGAGCTATGTTTACAGTTAGCTCACTTCTCTCTGAAGGGAGCAACTTAGAAGGAGAAAGGGACAGCAGATCACGGCCAGCTCTTTCTCCTAAGTACAACCAAGTGTATACAGGAAATGTAAATTAATACACATGAGTTCAATTACACCCAAGATTTAGCTTCCTCTACAATTCTGACCTAGGAATAAGCAAAGAATTTTCACTGTTTAGAACCTCCACTAATGTTCTTAAATATACATGTTTCTATAGCCCATTGCATAGAAGGCACCTGCGGAACACTCATGGGACCACCGTTTCATGAGCCTGTAACTTTCACTGACAACAATTATTTATCCTTCTGCATATATTTCTGCTGCCCTTCATGTCAACCCGCCACACTGCCACCACACTTTCATTTGCCTAGAAGTACAAGAATAAAGCATGCAACCTAAGCAAGTTATACGTATTTTTATAAAAGCAAATCTGCAAATCCGTGGTAATATTTTCTACACCAAATATATCTTTTCTAGCATAAAGCTGTGTTTGAAACATGGTGATGAGAGAGAGCTTTGTGAATATCCTGGACTGGCATAAAGAGAAACAAGTGGGCCTAGATCCAATCAAGCCAAAACTTCCCTTGGAAGCAAAAATGACAAAACTGAGGCTGTCATACTTTAGACACTTTGTTGGAAGACAAGACTCCATGGAGAAGTCTATAATGCTAGGGGAAGCTGAAAGCAGAAGAAAAGGAAAACCAAATATGAGACGGATTGACTCCATGAAGGAAGCCGTAGCCTTGAGTTTACAAGAGCTGAGTGCTGAGCAGAGCTATAAAGGATACAACATACTGGAGGACATTAATTTACAGGATGACCATAACTTGACAACATATAACAGCCGCAGCATATAAAGGAAAAGTCTGGGGGTTTTTTAAAGCTCAAAGTTCAGATTTCCTTGAACATGCTCTAGCACAGTTTATAAACTTCCTTTTTTCTGCTTTTACTTCAAGCAGAACAAAGGAAAAGAAACTGAAGTGATTATTTGGTTTACAATAGCTAGTAAAGCTATAAGAGGGAAGGAAAAAGCTCATTCTATAATTGCTTATAAGCAGCTGTATACATTTTTCAGATGGAAAAATACAGCAAAATCAAAATGTTCCTTCTTCCTGAGATATGTCAGAACACAACAAGAATCATCACTATCTTAATTCTCAATTCCACAAGACAAAAAGAAAATGCAAGTTTCTTTTAAAACAACAGCAGAAGAATCTGTAATCAGAGTTCAGTGAAGTCGCATTGATCTTGTGCAGCAGCCACTCACCTCCCAAAAAGCAAAACATGTCAACACAAAAGCCCCACACTAGATTGATCTCAAATGCTGAAATTTCTATGAAAGCCACTCTGAAGAGAATACAATTCATCCCCCAATTAAAGATCAATTAAATGCGGAGCACCTGGGAGTCCAAATCTTCACCCTTCATGCAGAAATTTGCATCAATGACATTCAAGCCTACTAAAAGACCAGCAATTATGGCACCTTCTTCCTCCATCATGAGTGCATTTGGTTCATAAAATTCACTGCAAAACAAATTGAAATAAAGCTTCTTAAATCACTGAAGGTGCTCCCAGGCAGAGAGCACCTAGCACTAATCAAAAGGCATAGTGCACCGTTTCCAAACATTTTCCTTATTTTTTCCTGGTAAAAAGCAGCCACAGAAAAACACAGGAATGTTTCATATACAAGACAGTAACATCCCTGTGAAATTCCATGAACTAAGCAGGTTGATTGCACTATAAATGCTTCATCCGGAAGCATCCTCTTTTCCACTTTCATCCCTTTAAGTCTGCAATAATTCTGCAGTCACTCAGAACTATACATTGTACTGAATACATAGTGTGCTGCCATGTCTTCTGTTTTTCTTTAATCTATTTTTTCTTTAGGTTAATTTCTTTAATCTATGTCGCTGAGGTGCAGAGAGATTCTTATCCAAAGCACAACACACAGGGGAGATAAATTCTCCTTTCACTCCTGCAAATTCATCCCTTCCCTCTTGCCCATATGGATCCTTCTCCTTCTGCTTGTCTGGAACAAGACCATTGCAGATGACAACACAAAACCAGAATTAAGCAAGAGTTCAAAATTTGGAAAAATTAAGAGCAAGGATATATCCTTCCATAATTAATAAAATGAGGCAATTGCCAAACATAGCTAGGATGTAATGCATATATAAACACATCAAAACGATCCCAAAGACTTATGTAATGAATTATTATTATTATTATTATTATTATAACATTTCTATGCCGCCCCTTGCCGAAGCCTTGGGGCAGCTTACAACACAATAAAATACAATACAATACAAAAATAACAATATAAAATTAAAATTAATAATATAAAATAAATACTATATATATATATATATATATATATATACACACACACACACACACACACACACACACACACACACACACACGATATAAAAGAAGTTAGAAAAGTTATAAAAGAAAAGAAAAGAAGTCGCCCATTTATTGAAGGCTTTAGTGTCAGAAAAAGGACACACCGCTCACCTGAGAATTTCCCTCCTGTTAATCAAGGCTTTCATGTACTCTGAAAGCTTCTTCTGCATTAGCGCTAAACGAAGCCAGGCTCTTCCTCTACCCACAGGCGTCCTGCAATTCCCACAGACAAAGATAAATTTGTGGAATCTATGCACCAAATTTGTGACATCTTAGCACCAAAAATATCTCCTAAAATTAAGCATTTTTATTGTTACTGATGCAGATTAGGTTGGCTGCCTAACTGCTCTTTCTCTGTGCAGCTGGATTTCAGCTGGGAACCATACAAAGACTGTCTCCACAAAAAATGAAAAGGAGTAGAAGGTTAAAGAAAAAGAAGCAAGCCTGGATTGTGGAGAATAAGCAGGTTGCTTACCTGTAACTGATGTTCTTCGAGTGGCCATCTGTGCAGTCACACATATGGGTACTGTGCCTGCGCAGTGCCTTTGGCTGGAAGATTGACAGCTAACACTTTTTGGTGGGAAGCTCCGCTCCCCCTCCCCCTTGTGGCCTATCAAGAGCGGAGCGTCCGCCATTTTGTTCAGTCTTTGCGACCGAACGTACGGTATCTTAATAGAATTTTTTTTTTGTCGGTACCGTAAAGGAGATAGTCGGTACCGAAGATGCCCTCTCTCATCGACATTGAGCTGTCGATGCATCCACTCACCACAGTCGCCAAAGGTTCAAAGGGGACCTTCATAAGGGCCTGTAGAATTACAGAAAGGCTCCACGTAGGCATAACCGGTCTAACTGATGGATTAAGATTATACAGTCCTTTCAAAAATCTCTTGAGAATAGGATGAGAAAATAGGGGTGATCCATCGACTAAGCCACAGTGGTAGGCTATTGCGGCCGTATACACTTTAATAGAAGACGGCTTCAGTCCAGAGTGATGCAACTCCAGAAGGAACTGAAGAATTTGTTCGATTGATGAGACAAGTGGGGAGAACGAATGAGACTCGACGAAGGTGGAAAAACGTTTCCATTTAGCCGTATATCACTTCCTTGTGGACGGCTTTAGGGCAGAGTCGATAATATGCTGAATCTCAGGGTGCAAGAGCATTGGGTTCGAATTCGACGGGGACTGTCTCAAACCAGATGGTACGGAGACACTGTGGCAGTGAGAGGCACCCGCATGGTTGGATTCGAGAATCGGAACTGAAGTGGTCGAAGTAATCGTCGGTACCGATGGATTAGTAGAAGTTGTCGGATTCGAGGCCCCAGTGGAAGGTCAATCATCGAATCCGCCACGCTGTCAAGTTCAATGAGAGCAAGTCCGGGTGACGAAGTGTGCCGTCCATTTGCGTTATAAGATATGGAAGTGCTCGAAGATGAAGAAACTCGCCACGGGAGATGTCGAGCAGTTTCGCAAACCACGCTTGGCGTGGCCACCAAGGGGCAACTAGTATCCCGGTGCACGGTCGCTCACTATCTTTGCTATGACCCTCATCAGAAGAGGGATCGGAGGGAAAGCATAGAAGTTGATGTTGTCCCAAGGGATCATGAATGCGTCCCCTAGGGATGCTTGTCCGACTCCCGCTCTGGAACAGTAAGTCTCGCATACCCTGTTCCGTCGAGTAGCAAATAAGTACACATTGGGGAACCCCCAGTGCCTGAAAAGGTGGTTCCGCGTACGAGGATCCAGTTCCCACTCGTGAGAAGTGAAGATGTGTCTGCTGAGAAGATCCGGGTGCACGTTGTCTGTGCCAGCCAGATGAACGGCCATCAGAATAATGTGTCTCGGAATGCACCAGTCCCAAATTCTCATAAAAAGCCTGGCTAAGGTCGGTGACTTCGTTCCTCCTTGCTTGTTCAGATAAAAAACGGTCGCTATATTATTGTCCGAAGTTATCTGAACGATCCGATGATGAAGGAGGTCTTCGAAAGAACAAAGGGCCTTGAAGACTGCGAGCAACTCTAGGAAGTTGATATGACACGTGGATTCTAGACGAGTCCATGTTCCCTGGGTAGACAGGCCAGAGCATATCGCCCCCCATCTTAGGAGACGCGTTGGTACCGAGAGTTATTGAAGGAGGTCGCGCCTTGAAAGGGACTCCCATCACGAGATTGGTTGGTTTCAGCCACCAGCACAGGGAGTGGAGCATGGAAGACGGGATCCGAATCCGTTTTGACTGTGGGTCCCTTTGTGGATGATACACCTCGTTGAAGAACAGTTGTAGTGGGCGAAGCCGAAGTCTGGCATGTGGAACTACGCCAACTGAGGAGGCCATATACCCCAGGATGGATCTCACCGTAACCGTTCTCTCTCATCAGATTCGATGGATATGGCGAGCGAGAGTCTGCTGTCTGTCCTGAGGGAGGAAGGCTTTCTCCAACGTTGAATCCAAGCGGGCTCCAATGAAGGTGAGCGTCTGTGTCAGAAGAAGAGAAAATTTCTCTGTATTAATACGTAGGCCCAGACTATCTAGTAAGGTATGGGTTGTATGGATGGTGTCTAGGAGTCCTTCTCTGGATTGCGAGACCAACAGCCAGTCATCGAGGTACGGGTAAATTTGTATGCCCTGAAGGCGTAGGAAGGCACAGACAGGAGCCATTCATTTGGTAAAAACTCTAGGAGCCGTAGCCAGTCCAAAGGGTAGAACTGTGAACTCATAAAGTTGGTTTGCAACAGCAAAACGGAGGAAACGCCTGTAAGTTGGATGAATTGAAATATGAAAGTAGGCGTCCTTCAGGTCCAGTGAGGCGAACCAATCCCCTCTCCTTAACAACAGCAAAATGTTTTGAAGGGTGGTCATACGAAACTTTCTCGGTATAATAAACTTATTCAAGTCCCGTAAATCCAAAATCGGACATAGACCACCATCCCGCTTGGGGACCGTAAAGTATCTGGAATAGAATCCGTGAAGTCCATCAGATGGAAATACTTGACGAATCGCTCCTTTAAGGAGAAGTTGATGTATTTCGTCGAGAAGTACCGGCGAACATGAAGTAGACCAGATCGGACTCGATGGAGGAACGATGTGGAATTCTATTCGATAGCCGTGTTGAACGATGGATAATACCCACCGGTCAGATGTGATAGACTCCCAAATGGGGAGTCGGCTTCGGAGCCGATCCCCAGATGAGAGGGGTGTGGGTATTAGAGGAGCATGAGGAGTGGTTCGCCAGTCCCGTCAGCGCTGCCTCCGATCGTCGAAACGACGGCGGCCCTGTTGGAAGTGCTGTTGGGGCTGAGGGCGGCAGCGCTGTTGATGCTGTTGTTGCTGGCAGTGTTGCGGCAGCTGTCTCTGCTGGTATGACTGCCTGTAGGATGGCCGATTCCAGGACCACTTACGTCTGTTGTGTGACTGGATCTCCATCCTGCGCGCCGTCATTCTTGACTCGTGTAGTTTCTTGAGTTTGTGGTCGGTACGTGAATGGAAGAGCCCGGAACCATCAAAAGGCATCTCTTCTATTCGCCGCTTGGTTTCCTCCAGGAAATTACAATTCCGGAGCCATGCGTGTCTCCGGAGGGAAACGGCACCGACCAAGGCCCGGGAGTCAGTGTCCACGTGGTGACGTGCCGTGCACAACTGCTGCACCGCGACCTGCATGGCTTCTTTGATTAGGACCTTCGCAAGGTCACCCTGGTGGTCTGGGAGGGTGGAGGCGACATTATGGAGGCGCTGCATAATAAAATATTGATATCGTGCCAACGTCGCCTCGTAGTTGGATATGCGAAGTCCTAAGCCCGAGGCAGCATAGACTTGCCTGGCTAGGGAATCTATTTTCCGGTCTTCCTTATCCCTCGGCGCCGTATGGTTATAAGCGGCAGAACAATGGAGGTCGATTGCTCCCCGCGGACGACATCCTAAAACTTGTCTGTCGACGGTCCTGGGCGCTGGGCAGCGTCGATGTCTAGGGACTGGACAAGCCTCGACATCAGCTCCGCAAAGGAGACGTGGGACTCATCGGGTGACGCAGGATCCTGGGATGTCACCACGACGTCTGGGGAGGTTGAGTCTACTTCAAAGTCATCCGAATCAGCACCGTAGTATGGTGGGGCAGAAGATGATGACTCCGCCAGCGAGAAGGAGCGGCTGCTTCCGCTTTGCAGGGATCGAGGTGGCACCCTCCTCGGATCCACTGACCGCGGTTGGTCGCGGGGCAGAGGTGAGGATCGCGCCCTGAGAGCAGGGTAGTACCCCATAGAAAGCGGGTCTCCCCAAGGTTGGTAGTAGGGATGACACCAACTCTCCGGGCGTTGCTCTACCAAGCGGCTTCTCCAATTCCTTGGTGGGGACAGGCCAGCTTCTGTCTCCAACGTCACCGTGGGCATCGGTGTCGGTGACCTCGCCCTAGGAGGGGAGTCCTGGATTTCCCCATCCGAAATAGACCCCCGCAGAGTTGGAAGGGGTGCAGGCGGGAGGTCGACCGCACGTCAGGAAGACCCTTGAGGGGTAACCCGCATGGCCTCCTGAAGGATCGGTTTGGGCGGGGTTGGTATCGTAACCGCCACCGGTATCGAGGGTCCCGTCGGCTCCGAGTCCCGATGTCGGGGACGGTCCGTGGACTTCGCCTTCTTTGGAGGCTTAGAGGCCTTCTCCTTTCTGGCCTTCTTATGGCCTGCCGGCTTCTCTTCGGCATGCTTCCGCTTCTCATGCCTCTTTTTTGGTGAAGCAGAGGGGGCCACCGAAGCGGATGCACCTTTATCCGAAGGGCGTGAGGGTAGAGCCACAGAAGCGGAGCCAGGTTTTGGGATGGAGATGAGCGGGTCTGATTGCATCAGAGCCCTATCCCAAAGGAGCCTCCGAAGCCAGTTCTCACGGTTCTTCCTAGCCTGCTTTGAGAAGGCTAGGCAATGAACGCACTTATCCGTCCTATGCCCCTCTCCAAGGCAGAGGAGGCATAGGTCGTGCAGGTCAGTAGGTGCCATTTTTGACCCGCAATCCGCACATTTGCGGAAAGCCGCTCGCTGCGCCATCGCAGAAGAAAAGAAGAAGAAGAAGAGAGATAGTACAGAGGGTAAGTGTGTGTGTGTGTGTGTGTGTGTGTGTGTGTATAGATAGATAGATAGATAGATAGATAGATAGATAGATAGATCGAAGAAAGAAACAACAAGAGAAAAACTACACAGAAGCGGGAACGAAGAAAGGGGAAAGCAGTATAAGGGCAATATATAAGGAGAGAACCAAGAATAGCCAAAGCGAAAGTCGAAAGCGGCACGAGGCACAGCGAACGGCGGTTGCAAAGACTGAACAAAATGGCGGACGCTCTGCTCTTTATAGGCCACAAGGGGGAGGGGGAGCAGAGTTTCCCACCAAAAACCGTTAGCTATCAATCTTCCGGCCAAAGGCACTGCGCAGGCGCAGTACCCGTATGTGTGATGCACAGAGGCCACGACAAAGAACCTGGTCTACCATTCACAAGTAGTATGCTGGTCCATGCTGCTCAATCACGCTTTCTGTGGCTGAGCCTGAGTGTGCTTGTGTGCCTCACTTTCCATTGCCACTTCCACTGAGAGATGGAACAGGCTGGTAAGCCTGCAGGCCACATGTTCCACACCCCTGGGCTAAACCACAGCATGGTATATTGAGAACAGGCTACTGTGAATCTCACAGTCCCCTTCCCCCTCCAGCATGAAGGAGTGAGAGCTGAGGAAGCTTTTGCTTCCTCCATATATTAATTGCTGGTTATGTCGTCCAAACCCAACAAACTACAGTTAACCTATGATTTATTTAAACGAAGCCAGCAGAAACCATGGATTATAAAGCTGGTTTTAATTAATTAATAAAAGCTTTTATTCAATAACAATAAATTCATTTGATAATGAACATTAACCAAAGTTTAATGTCTCTACCATTTTCAGATAGCATGATCAACTGTCTTAAGTCAGAAACAAAAGCTTCTGAACTCATAACAAAAGAGGAGGAGGAGGGGAGGGAGAAGAGTACGTGCTCCTCACACTAAATTATTGTCTAGCATAATATCTAAACATGATCAGCAGGTCCACCCTATTAATTAATAAAAGCTTTTATTCAATAACAATAAATTCATTTGATAATGAACATTAACCAAAGTTTAATGTCTCTACCATTTTCAGATAGCATGATCAACTGTCTTAAGTCAGAAACAAAAGCTTCTGAACTCATAACAAAAGAGGAGGAGGAGGGGAGGGAGAAGAGTACATGCTCCTCACACTAAATTATTGTCTAGCATAATATCTAAACATGATCAGCAGGTCCACCCTCTCCTATCCCCTTTTCTCTCCCTGTCTTCTTCTCTTGCCCCACCTCCAGCAGAAAGAGAACTGAAGACAAAGATTGCAAGCTAGCCACTACTTCCCATGTTGCTTCTAGAAAATCCACTAGGAAAGCATGGCCATATCTTCTACTTCTCCCCTGAAATGTGAAACAGAACTACGGGCAGCTGGGAAAGCTGCTTTCCATAAGATGGATACACCACCGGTTAACAGTCACCGCTACACAGCATCTTGGGCAGATGCTTGGCCAGTGCCTCGGGGAAGATTTGAAAGCACACACACAGACTTCACTTACTTCAGCCCTGGCAGATCTTTAACACTTGCTGTGATTTCTCCAGCTTCAGGGACATATTTCTCTACCAGTTCCAAGGGTCCCCAAAATGACTTGTTTTGGCCCAGAAAAGTCTTCTTGGCTAGACAGAAACATTGTTATTCCATATCTTCAAGCAGCTTGAGATAGCTTGGGTTGTATTAGAAATTCAAGACATGCATTTCAAAAGTCAGCAGCCCCTACAACATCTTAACCCAATACATTGTTTTCTCCGCTTTTCCCATGCACTCTTGTGCTCTGTGTTTGCTTCCAGGTAAACAGTGCTATTATTTCAAACGAGGTTTCATGCACCTGGCAGGCAGGAAGGCATCTAAATGGGAAAAGACACTCTTCTTTTCTTCCCCATCTGCTCATTTCCTGCTTTCAGACTTCAGTGCATATCTATCATCCTTTGTCTTCCAGCAATACATTTATGTAGAAATAGTCATTATACCATCCAAGTTTATCTGTTTTAATTAGGGATGTACAGATAGAATTAACAGAGAAAATGCAGCCCTATAGGATCAGTACAGTTCTTTCCACCACAATGTGAATCTGTGCAGAAACTAGTTTTGTACTTTGAAAAGTGAGAGAGGGGCTGTCAGCCAGAAACTCCATCCTTGCCCCCTAAAGCAGTACTCCAGAAAGTGCTGTCACCACTTTATCCACTCCTCTTTTACCTCTAGGCTGCATGTGAAGGCTCTATTTGGCCCTGGTTGCTGCATTTAGCCCTGGAGGCTTCTATTTCCTGGAGAACCACAACTGGCATCTGGAAAAGAGGGTAATTCCAGCTAGCATCCTCAGGTGAGGACCAGGTGTCATCAAGGCACCAGCCTATGGGAAGAACTGGGAATGACTCTGTTATTTGGTCTGCCGCCCGAGTAATCTGGGGAAAGGTACCTTGCCAGGGGCTTGCACTTTGCCTTGCTGCTGCTACCAAGTCATGCTCAAGGGCAACACCAAAGGGAATGAGTCCACTGAAATGGCTCTCCATAGCAGACTTCAGGTAGAGGGTGAGGGAATCAGTGGAAAGAACTACATGTAGTAACCTATCCTTATTAAGGTAGAGAAACAACTTTATTCAAACTCTGTAAGATGCCTTGAAGCCCTAAATGGTGGGAAAGCAGGGTACAAATTCTGTGGATAGCTCTGCGCTAGGACAAAGCACATACACAGCCATACTCGGCCCTCGTTAGGGCATAATTCCAGTTTAACATTGTGAGCACAATAAAAAAACACAGTAAACCCCCACCTCTTGCACAGCTCACCCACCTTTTAGGCCATGTTTAAGGCAATGCTCCATCACTACAAAAAACTGCTGAAGAGGTGCATAGTCAGAGTCCAGTGTTCTCCCAAGATTCAGAGCAGACTCAATCAAACCCTTTATACTCAGTTTAGCCATATTCATCAGGTTCATGCGTTCATTAGCCATGAGATAGTTGGGGTCTGGAATAAAACATATACAGAAGAGCTGTTAAGAAAAATACAGTAACAGAATTTAATTAAAAGTAACTGAAATTATTTTTAAAGTGCATCTAACCTAAGGGAAGCACTGAGGTCTGGAACTGAAAGGCATCAAACAGAGCACTTGCAGGAGATAAACAGTTCTGGGGCTTGCTTTTTAAATGCAATGGCAGTGCAGTCAAAGCAAGGAGAGATTCAGCTGCCTCAATATTTAAATTAGTAAATAAAGAAGAAATGATGCTCCAGTGGGAAAGCTTTTTGGAAAACCTCAAGTACTATTTCACTTATCTTCTCTGGGGAGTTGCACAATATGACAGGTGAAGATGATTTAATGATCACTGAGAAAACATATGAAACTGATGAACATTTTTTCCCCTTTAAGTTGGTTGTGAAGGGATACAGAAGGCATTTTGTAGTGTAAGCATCAATATTCCTGAAGCATAGCTGCAAACACCAAGGAGGGGAAATTATACATAGAAACATTTCGCAAATTTACAAAATAAAAATACCAACAGGATTGGTGTTCAAAATTCTAGTTTAAGGGAATTTCAGTTTTTGTGGGATAGAAGTATATTTTGCCTTATAAACTGCACCTTTCATATCTGGAACTGGTCCAAAATAAAATAATGCACCTCAACATTAAGGGTTTCAGTTAGTGCGTGCATGCACTAAGGCACAGTGGAGATATCACAATACTATACACTAGAGATGTAACATTAAAGTTAAGATGGTTTGAAAATGCATTTCTTCCTTTACAAGAAACTTGATGAGTAAAATTTTGCTATGTTTTTGGTAATATTTGGGGGAACCAGATAGAACTGCTATTGGGTTGGATCTGGTCTGAGACTTGTTAGCCATTCCTGACAGATAATGTATTTTCCTCTGACAGTTAGTTGAAGGATCCTTTGCCTGCAGTCTTCCCCATATGTTTCTTCCCACCAAATCTTGGGCCAGAGTTTTTGCCTCCTGCCTCAGAAACAGAGTTTGAGTCAACAGGGCATCAGTATGCTTAGCATTTCGACATGCTAATTTCAATAAACTGGACCCTAAACTTTTCTGCTTTTTAGGGGAAACCTCTGGTAGATACAGAGTCAAATCTGGCCCAATATTTCTTTTCCTTAATGTTTTGTTTAGGGTTTTAATAAAAATCTGGTTAAGCTCTGAATCAAGTCTATGTTTACTTGAGAAAGCATTACACACAAGCTTGAAAAACTGGAAAAACTACATGTAAGCTTGCACATTCATGATCGGGGGAAAGGCCACTCAAACCTGTTACATCAACAATTCGGTACTGAGAAAAAGTATAGGTACAAACATCAGAGGGGAAAATTGTACCCAAAAATATTTAGCAAATTAACCTAATAAAATTTCTAAATGGATTGATGTTCAACATTTTGTTTTAAAGAAATATAGGTGGATTCCAAGAGTAACTAAATCACAAATGTATCCACTATTGTCTGAACATAGCATAGAATCATAGAATAATAGAGCTGAAAGTGGGCAAGATATGCAGCTGAGAGCAGAACCGCACAGGTGAACATCTGGAGTATGCTCCCAAAAGAAAACCAATTACCCATTGCAGTTGTGGGGAGGAACAACTTCTGTAGAGATGATCTCATTTTGAGATCACCGATCTCATTTTGTTCGCATACTTCATCATGTTTCTAGCCTTACATTTAACTCCACTCCCCTGCTCCCAAAGTTAAGGCAATCTATTCAGACATCATTTGATTTCCTCAGTAGCTGTACTGCCCATCTTCACTCTCTCTCTCTAACACATCTTCATTGAATTGTAGCATATGGGCCTTGGGATTTAAGGCAGAACACCATGTCAATTTTAAAGGAATGATCTCATCCACTATGAAATTATGTTCCAGAGATGCTCCTTGACCTCCATTCTAATCAAAAGGAGGAAAGTTTTTATTACAAGAGATGAATTGTATTCATAGCTAAGTTTTAAGGTCAAATCTACATATAATTGTATACATGTGAGAGAATATCAGAAGATAGCACTGCAACTGTAACAAGCTTTTTAGCTTACAAGTAAGCTTAACTAAATCTCCTGGCACCTCTCGATTTCAAACCCATTTGCAAGTACAATGGTTGCAATCACTACAAGGACTCAGAGTGAGGACGAGGGAATGGAAATGAATGAACAAAACGAAGCACAATCTGCTATTTTATGATTCTATGACGCTAATACACAGTCGAGGCTCTGGATGTCGAAGAAGTGAGTGAACATCGAAAGCAGCTTTTTCTTATGTTTCTAAAATGCAAGCCATGTATAAATCATCTCTGCAACACTCCATTAACTTTAATCAAATTGCAAGATGCTTGTTTTACATGCTGAGCAGGTGACATTGTCACTGCCTTCATGACACATCTCCTGTGGCAATTAAGATGCTATGGCCACCATGATCCTGCAAAATGGTAAGGATCCTGTGAAAAGGACCTGATCCTGCCTTACTAAAAAGGAGACTGTGTTCATACTGTAACCGATTCTAAATAGTTCATGAGCTATATCCAAAGCCATTCCTTTGGGTTACAAGGAATAGTTTAAATCAGCACTGCAGTTTCACTAGAAGCCAATGCCCTTCGTTATGTTAGAAGGATGCCTTCTATACAGAATCATAGAATAGCAGATTCAGAAGGGGTCCGAGGGCCATCGGGTCCAACCTTCTGCTCAGAGCAGGACCCATCCTCTCAAATGGCTGTCCAGCTGCACCTTGCCAGCCTCCAGTGTGGAAGAGCCCACAGCCTCACTAGGAAACTGGTTTCATCTACTGCTCTAACAGTAAGGAAATTTCCCAATATCTAGCCAGAATCTGGCTTCCTGTAACTTGAGTCCATTATTCCATGTCCTGGGATGACTGAGAAGAGAGCCTGGCTTTTCTCTCTGTGACAGCATTTCCCGAAGAGGGCAATCATATTTCCTTCAGTCTTCTCTTCTAAACATGCCCAGTTCTTTCCATCTTTCCTCACAGAGCTCCCTTTCCAGTCCATGGATCATCCTTGTTGCCTTCCTCTGAACCATTTCCAGCTTGTCTGCATCTTTTTTGAAGTGTGGTGTCCAGAAATGGACACTGTACTCCAGATGAGTACTGTGAAACCCAACTAGCCCAGAGTAAAGGGAAACTAGTACTTCATGGGATTTGGAAGTGATGCATTTATTAATGCAGCCTAAAACAGCATTTGCGCTTTTTGTAGCCACATCATATTGCTGACTCATACCCAACTTGTGATCTACAACCATTCCAAGGTCTTTCTCACTTGCAGTTTTGTTGAGCCAAGGATTCCCCATCTTGTAACAAGACATTTGGTTTCTTCTTCCTAGGTGCAGAACCTGACATTTGTCACTGCTGAATTTCATTCTGCTGTTTTCAGCCCAGCACTCCAACCTATCAAGAATTTTCTTCCCGTCTTCCATGGTATTAGCTAGCCCAACCAGCTTTGTGTCATCTGCAAAACTGATCCTTTCTTGTTCTTCCTCACCCAAATCATTAATAAAAAATGTTGAAGAGCACTGGGGCCAGGAAATATTTTAACTTGGGTATTAAAAATTGTTACTATTATTTTAAAGGTTGCTTTTACTCTTTGTTATGTCTTTGATTATTGTTTAACCTCCTAATGTATCTATTTAGTTATTTGGTAAACTTCCTTGGCTAGCTGCAGAAAGGCAATACTATAAACAAATAAATAAAGAAAGAATGAATGAATGAATGTTGCAAGTGGAACAAAATAACTAAGTTTTGCCCTTTCCACAGTAAAGCCCTAAAACTGACTTGCACACCCAAATCCATGGAAAAAAGAGCCAGTTCAAGTATAAAAAAACCATAAAAGTCCTGCCTTAATTAACAGGGGTGCTACACAGAAAGGAAGAAGGGAAGGCACATGTGCACATGTACACACACACACACAGGTGCAGGAGCCCCACAGCAGACTTTCAGACACAACGCAAGGGGGCAAATCCCCTTTCCAAGCCAACAGTTCATATAATACAGTAAGAGTATAAGCACTTGGGTCAGTTTCAAGATAACACAATTCCCCTTGCACTTTCATGCAGGCAAATCATTCCACATTCTGCTATACCTCTTCTCAAACACGTGATATAACAAAGCCATACCTTTTCTAGTCACCTACAGATTAAACTGTCAGGTGTTCTATATGAGCAGAACTTGAAGACAATCCAGAGGTTACAACTGTTTCAAATGCAGCTGCCAGACTTCTGACTGGAACTGATATCAAACCATATTTATAACAAAAGGACCTAAGAAAAGCCATGCTAGATGAGACCAAAAGTCCATCCAGTCCAGCACTCCAGACACACAGTGGAAAACAAGCTGCCCACAGGATTCCTCAAGCAGGATGAGTGCAAGACCCCTATTTGCCCAAGTTCCCCAGCGACTGATAAAGGAGGTAGCACACAGCCAGCAAGACCAGTAGCCGCTGATAGCCTCCTCCATGAATTTAACCGATTCCTTTTAAAGTCATCCAAATTGGGGGCCATCACTAGTTCCTGCAGCAGTGAATTCCATAGTTGCATTGTGTGAAAAGGTACTTCTTCGTGTCTATCCTAAACCTCCCACCAATCTGCTTCAAGCGATGACCTTGGGCTCCAGCATTAAGGGAGCCTCTTCACAGGATGCAACCAGCTTTTTACAGCTTCAGTGGTTGCTAATTTGTTCCTAGGCTCAATTCCAGGTGCTGGTTTTGACAGTAAACAAATATCAGGTATCGCCATCCTCCAGGTGAGCCTGCACAGCGTTACTCTTCTTCTGAAGCCCCACTTCTGGTCTGTCCCACCTGCTGATGGGTAGCTGACGCAGGGTCTTTTCAGCTGTAGTCCCTATGATCTGTTCCGTCTCTGTTTGCTTCTAGGATGGAAAGCAAAGTCAGTCCTTTCATAGCAAGGGTTTACCATGTTTTGTTATCAATATGTTCATTATTGTTGCCTTTTCATTTTTATATCAATGCTATTTTTGTTATTGGAAGATGATGGTTATGTATTTTCACTCCTACTGCCCTGTAAGCATCTCCAAAAAATTCTATAATTCATAAATAAAAATACTGATAGGGTGGATAAAGACCAGAATGGGCTTAGTATTTCAGTTAGGACAAGGATAGTCACTGAACTTCAGAAGGCAAACTTCAAATAAATCAGCCTGTTAATAAGTGACTACTTTTCTTAAGGGTCCAGTGAACCCTTGTAATATGCTGCCCACTAAGGTGTTTGCAGTATCACAGTGAAATGGTTATCTTAAGCAGTTGGAAGTACTTTTGGTGAGGAGAAAGATCAGAGCCTATCCAAATTTACTCAGAAGCAAGCCCCAATTATTCAATTAAATGGGACATACCTATCTATACGTATATAAAGTTATAAAAAAACACTATCTTCTGATCCCTTGTTGAATGGAAGGAAAATACACTTACAAGCAGAATTACAAAGGCTCCCTTAGGGAAAAGGGGGAATGGTCACATACTGGGAGCCATAAAGACTTTCATTTTCTTTTTGAGATTTCCTTTACATTTTCACTCAGGGCTCTGCAAGCAGTTTAAATGCCTCTCCTGCATTCAACTAAAATATTGTTTGTTATCTCCGTAGGTCCTGACAGCTTTGAAAGCGATTGTTTTCAAATGTGGGATACAGGGATGGACAAGTTTTTGAAAGGCGGGTTTTCTTCGCTGGAATGTTGCATGATGGCAATCAAATCATTTTTGCATACTTCTCTTTCATTTGATGTGTGCTTCATTGCCTTCAATGACAACTGCAGGTTTTTGTGGGTCCTTACTCAAGACACCTTCCACAGGCCCCCTCCCTCAGCATGTCTTCCTCTTACCACCATTGACACCCACCTCTCCTGCTCCTCCTCCTCTTCCTCTTTTTCATCACTGCTGCCACTTGCTTGCTTGATAGGCGGAGAGGCAGTCAGCGAGAAAGCTGGCTGCCTCTCCGGCTCCTCCTCACCAGCATCGCCTTCATCTGGGCCAGGGTGAGAGGCAAGTGAACAGGCGGGATGCAATGAGAAAGAGGAGGAGCAACTCCAGGGGGCTGCCAGTGGGACCCCACCAGGGTGTGGGCCTTTGACAAGAGCCCAGCCAAGCTCTGGCTACAGTGGAGAGGAATCTCCATGACAAGAGGGTTATAAGCCACGTGCTTGCTTTCCCCCATTTATGGGATTCCAGTTTCTCCTCCACATCCTTATTTCTTTTCAGAAACATCAGATCTACCCCTACACACTAAGACCTGAAAAAGCAACGAACCTTAAAAGAGATTTATGTCAGAACAAAATTTAGAGGGAGCTATAAAGGTGGGCTTTTAAAAATTTTAATGTTTAATTTTATTAAGTAATAACAATACAATACAATAGTACATTCATGGCAACAAAAATCAGAAGGAGAGAAAAACTTACAATACCAATAGACGATCAAAAGAATTAATATTTAGTTTATTTGATACTAAACACAAAAAGTGCACTCCCACACTAGGAGACAGGCTAAGAGCACAAACAGATGCAAGTAGGAGATTTGTGATCGAGATCGGATGCCCACAACAAATAAACCAGCCGGCAGTAGCTGAAGGGGAGAAAATCTAACCAGGATTCCAACATGATGGAGGCAATCCCTCTCTCTACCCAGAAGCACATTTGTTTTGCATAGGGAAATGTACATGTATCACATAGGTAACTTTTAAGTTTTACCCATTTTCAAAAGTGGTGCAGACTGAAAGAGTTTTTAAAAAAATTCTTCCTCATGCTCTACAAGTCACCATCATCATCATCCGATTGCATTTACATCCTTCCTTTTTTTCCTTTTGTGAGGAACACGGGGCAACATACATAGTTCCTTTCTGTTCTCACAACAACAATCCTTTAAGGTAGGTTGGGCTGAGAGTCTGTGACTGGCCCAAAGTTACCCAGTGAGCTTCATGGCCAAACACTGTGTGCGTTGTTAAAAAATAAAAATTCCCAGCCCCTGACCATCCCTTCAAAGTGCCACTGAGACAGTATGGAAGGGTTGTCAGTGGCTGTCAGAGCAAGTTATCACAATCTCAAAAATGAAAATGGTAAAGTTCAAAAAGGTCATAGTGAAACCCAAGGCAACACCCAGCTGTTGCAGGGATCGGGAAAGACAATTCAGGGTTAGCAACCCTAGGATACCCACAGGAGGACCAAGCGAGAAGGAGCAGGTCAAAGGGAGCAAACAACCCATGGTGAGCCTGATCATCTGTTGGATGCATCATGGGTTCTTTACAAACCAGCCCACTGTGGTTTTTTGAAAGGGCATGTTGGTGTAGCATGGAAATGTGCCCTAGAAGGGGAAAATAGTTTTGAGAATCCTATGTTTCTCTCATTTTGTTCTGTCCTTCGACTGCCAACCTCATGGAAACATCCTTTTCTGATTATTTTTACCTGCTAAAGTGCAAGGCCATATATTTCTTTAATGACTTAAGTATGTTACTTCAGACTTAATTTTTGCAGAATGCAGATCTTACAAAACCAAATCTTTCCCAATGTGAAAAGCAGGATATAATAAATATGGAAGCAAACAAAACATTCACAACAATCTGTTAAAATGTAAATCCACAGAACTGAGAAGCAACCTTCCAGCATTACGGCATAATCCACAGAAAGTGCATTCTGGCAGCAGCTGCTCTCCTCACCCATACAGGAGTTCTGCTTCCAGCCATACTCTTTCCCAACTTTTCCATATCCTTTCTGCACTGCACTGTGACATGTTGCACAACCAGGGCAAAGCTTGCTGCCAAGAGCAAACAGTCATGCAAACTAATGTGGATTATCAAGCTCCAAATGCACTGTGCTTAGAAATTTCAGGAAAATTAGTGGGGCCAAGTTTCTTCTGCTAACACAACCATTTTTATTTCCAGATTCACACATCGCAAGTGCTATTTTTAAGGGTGATGCAAACAGAGTGCTGTGAATAATCCACAAAGCCTATATATTGGCAACAGATCTGTTTATTCCCAGGTTGTTCCAATCACAATATAAAGCAGGGGCATGCTTTCAATTGCAAACAGAAGGCCCAGGTGAGAGAAGCTAAGCTCTTCCATAACTTACATCTCTGAATCAAAAGGGAGCCCAACAGGGAGAAATGCATTGGGAGCAGTGGGAGTCATGATAAGGAGAAGGTTCGGTTCCCTTCATCTATGGACCTCTTTTTTTTAATTACCTTCCAGATAATTTAGATTAAACAATTTGAGTTTATACAAATAGGTTTACTGCCTTTATGGATTGAGATATGCAGCCCAATCCTGTGTATGTTTACTCACTACATTCCATTTCAGTTTTTAACCCTGAAGTCTCCTGAAGCAAATCTTTGTGTATTTTCCATATATATATGCTCCTTCTTCCCAGCACTTGCAATAAGGAATGAGCAAAACTGTGCACATACAATAATACCAGTTGTATTCCAGTAATTTTGAGATGGGGTGCCAAAAGTAACCATGCATAACTTCTGCTAAAAACATTTAGCAGACATAACTAGTAAATACTTATGGTAAATAGACACTACAATACGATGGCACAAAGGTATCAAAAAGTAGGGATATGAACAATGACTAGAAAGTAAGGCACTGCAAAGGTTCTCTTGTGGCTTTCTCTGCCCTTTAAATAATATATTTCATGCACACCCCAAATCTCCAGACGGAGGCGACCACTACATAGTGACAAACCATGAAATATGATGTGAACTATGCCACCTCTCTGAAAGTTAACAATAGCAGATTACATTGAAAATAAATGGACGACAAGATGGATGCCTTTTGATAATGTGTATGGAGTTGGTTTTTTAAAAAGGGAAATGACGAAAGAAAAGACAGTACAATATGGTTACACACAGGTATGATCTACAGTTACTACCTCTGGAAAGAACTTGGTGATCCAGCTCAAATGAGAACAAAAGCCGGTTGAAAATGAAATGGAAATAATAGTTGAAAGATGTTGGTGTGGCACGCACCTTCTGTATCATCGCGCAATTGCTCCACCAAATCTGTCAAATCCTCCCAAGAGTCTTTGCAAACGGAAAAAAAGGAAAAGAAAGAAAAATGTCATGCAAGCCATGATCCAAAGAAAAGACTGAAAAATCAAGGTAAGAAAAGGGGTAACAGAAAAGGAACTTGTTATACAAGATACATACTGAAGTGATTAGAGATTTAAAATGCAAGTTGTTTTAGTGTGCAAACAGTTTAGTATTTAGTAGAGATGATAAATTACTTTTGTTTAGCTTTAAGTCAGAAAGGCATATTATGTTTGAAGAAATATGAGAGAACTAAAATCTTCTCAAGAATATGCTTACACCTGAGTTGTAACCCATCTGAATTAAGAAAGAAATATTTCAAAGAGAGTATGCACTAGTCTTCACATCCATTTTTCAGAACTGCCTCAGAATCGAATCCTTCCAAATAAAAACAAAACAAACAAAAAGCAAATATATTTTCTGGTGTTATGAACCAAGGCACTTAGCTAAAACATACCTTAATATATCACTTAATATAGCCAAGTTCATCAGTAACATCATGTTCAATAAGCTATCAACACACTCAGCATGTCTTCTCTGAAAAGACGCTCCCTGTCTATATAGTGCATGCACTACTGCTGGCTGAGTCCTTAGGTAAAGGAGTGGAGCCAGGGGAGAGGAAAAATCCAAACAGAACACAAGCTACAACTTGCCCTGGCAGGCACAATAATTAACCATCTTTGCCTACAGGAACCAATTATAAATTCAGACATTATTCTGGAGTCATACTTACTTTTTCTTTCCCTCTGCAAGGCCTAATTCAGACTCAGAAAGTAGGCAAAGCAGCAACCTGAGCGAAAGCATTTCTTCCTACTACAGGCAGAGCTGTAAAACACTGAAGGAAGCGAAGAACACACCCATCCTGGCTTCCTTCCCACAGGAAAGCTATAAACTTATCTTCACTCATGTATTAACTTGCAAGTAGCAGAGAACACCATATAAAATGGCGCACTTTCAATGATTCCAACAATTAAACACATACAAGTTCCCCATAAATAAGGGCCAATTTCCAGCCACCTATTTTTATATTCTACAAGGCTGCTAACTCAGTGGCACTGTTCTAGAGTAAAGGTGGCAATAGTTTGAAGATCCAATAGCCTGGTCTCCTGCAAAAAAGGGGAATTTTGGATAAACTCTGTCTCACAAGACACCTGCACATACCTTCCACTTTAACAATAAACAGTCTTGTGGCATAACAGCATCTGCTGCAAAAAAACTAAGTATTAAAATAGCACTTCAACCAGTTAGGAAAGTGGCACCCAGTTCTCTCCCCACCGCCACCACTCCAGTATCTGAATCAGGTGTGGTCACAGAAATTCCCAAGCAGTGTTTGGATGCTCTGGTGGCTGGATGAATACCAATAAACTGAATTGGAATGTTGGCAAACAGAAGCATTGTGTAGGTGGGAAAGTGAGAGCATCATTGGCCTGGGAAACAGCTGGTTCCTAGAAGGAACAGCATAGTTTAGAAATATGCCTGGATTCATCTCTGCCATTTGAGGCTCAACTGGCAGACAGGGGCACCCTTTTTCCAGCTTCAGCTACATCTGGTTCATGACACAGCTACTGGTAACATCGAGACTAGATTATTCCACTTTGTTCCATGTGGGGCTACAGTGGGGCTTGGCCTGGAAACATGGCTGTTGCAAAATATAGCAGCCATGCCACTAAATGGATGGTTCTTCCAATAGCAAGCTACACCTGTGTTAAAACGACTGCACAGGTTGCCAATAAGCTGCCATGCCAAGTCCAGGGTGGTGGTGCTAACATATACAAACCCTAAACAATGTTGGACTTGGTTGCCTGAAGGACCTCCTCACCCTGTGTCTTTGTCAGATCTCTGCAAGGAGCAGAGGGAGCATTTCTGAGGGTGCCACGCACTCTTGAGGTTTACTGCAAAGAGCACTTGCAGGAGAGCATTTAGCGGTGCAGAATGGAGCACTTGGCATTAGACAGCCCTTCCAGCACCTGACCAACTGACACACAGCTCCCCCATTTCCAATTCTGATATTCAGAGGTCATCTTAAAGCTCATCTCTTTACACAGGTTTTTCCCCCATAAGTGTAACCCTTCCAGCTATGGCTTATAGCACAGAAAAGTGTGAAAGTGCTGATTAATGTGTATGTTGTGTTCATTGTTATACTTATTGTTGCTTTTACCTTGTATTTTATGTTCACTCATTTGAAAGCTTTGTGGAAACTGGTATATAAATCTGAATAATAAATAAATATCTCCATACTACTCCATACTCCATGAAAGCGTGCATGTTTCTGAGGCTGAAAAAATATGCTATGTTTACAATGTGCAAAAAAGCTTGAAGATTAGATAATTCAAATTCTGCAACAAAAGCTGACTTCTACAACTGTAATAATCCTGTATGCTTTGTTTAATTTGAAACTCTTATTCTTCCTCTAGCCACATGGGCAAGGAATTTTGCTATATGACCACTGGGCAGTTTCATTCAGTAACTTCACAGGCTTCGGAGACCTCCCAGATACTACTGCCCACAACTTTCAAACATGTTACATAGCATAATGAGCTAGTATGTTTTCATTAATGAAATATACAATTCCAACAAAGATGAAATCTGTAGTCAACACCACAGTCTACACAACTGTAATACACATACAATCCTAGGCTTGCTTTAAAGTTACCTGCTGGCTTTCCTGGACAAACTGAGATCTGTCTGTTGAGTCCATTAAGGGACAGTTCTTGTAACCAACATCGCACAAAAGTTGCTCCAGTTCATGCTGCTGGAACAAGCCAAAGTTCTGCGTTGCAACCATATCCCCTTGCTCTCCCACAAGAAGCTACTCGCAGGAATAACCTGTGCCATGTTGCAAGATTTGCCCTCCAGTCCTATATAAAGGCAATGCTACTGCCTTTATAGCAGTAACTGCCCCAGAGCAGGACAAGAGGCCTTTTCCCATTGCTGGAAAAGGGGATATGATACACAGCAGAGCACAGGATTGTGTAGTTTGCAAGTGACGAACACAAACCTTCACTCATGTTATCAGTATGGTCCACTAACTGTGTTCCTGCTGGCCAAAAGTCTGCCTCTCCATTCACAAGCCGTGTGGCACGTTTTTCAATACACAAAACTAGTACAGTAGTTGTATTCCAGACTACAAGTATCTGATCATCCATATTTCAGGATGTACTGTAGTTCTATACATGCTGTGGTAGACCCTTTACATCAATGTATAACTCTGTACCTTTGCAGCTAAAGAGACACAAGCTAGGTCAAAACTGTACTTATGCTTTTTACAGTTGTTCAGGCATGCAACTATTAGGTGAACAAGACAGATTGTGTTCCAGTGTTGTTATAACACCCTGAAACATATTTAAACCTGCAATTCTAAATATACTTACTAGGTAATAAGACTCATTGAATGCAGTAGAACTTACTGCTAAGTAAAGGGCTTAGACTTACATTGCATAGCTTTCTAATAAGGGGTAGAAAGGAACCCCAAATCTACCAACATTTGAATACTGCGATCTATTAATGTATATTCTGCCTACTTTGTTACTTAAAAGAAAAAAAACATTGCAGCAGTTTCCATACTACATTTAAGATTTGTCTTGAATATAATGAAGAAAACTTTCATGAATGATGTTTAAAATGTTTGCTTATTTAATTGCAAAGGGTAGTTCTGCCTAGAGCAAAAGAAAGAGATTATAATTTAAGTACTGAGTGCATCAATGTTCACATGATCTCAAAACCAGAACATGTGCTACTGTTGTTTGTTGAAGAAATCTTATCAGATGGTGGCTATTTATGAGTGATCAATAATATAAAACTCATTTACCAATGTTTGTCAAGAATTTCAAAGGCATTTGAAAGACATCTGAACTGAAATTATTAGCCAGTTTGACAGCACTACTGAGAGCTCTGAATGAAAATTAAGGATCATTTTCTAACTTCAAAAAGTAAATTGTCTCCTATTTAATTCACTCTGTGCTTTAATTCACAATACTGTTAACTTAGTTAAATAGAATACAATACTAAAAAGTAAACTGCCAGAAATTGCCCTCAGGCAGATCTTGTAGAAATCTATGGTTATCAAGATGTCTACTATTGGCAAACCACAAAATAAGCATAATTAGACAAAAATTGTCACTTCTATTTTAGAAGACTGCCTTTTGGTTCCTATGTTTTTCATGTAATAAGCATTTATAATACTTTCAACTGAGGATATAAAACTTCAGTTTTTAAAGAAAAACAATAGATATAGGAATATTCATGCCCTTCCCAAATAAAAACAATAATGTGTACTTTTGTTAATATTTATTTATTTCCAGAAAGCACAGAACTGACTATTTAAAACAATTAATGTTAACTTCATAAAGCCTTATACTTTGGGCAATATAAAGTTGTAAAGATTTATATCTGATAAGAATTACTCACATCATAGAAAAAGCATTACATTTGGCATAAGCTGATGGGTTTTCAACTCAAATAAGGACTTGTTTGCCATAGACCAAAAAATGACCAGTTGGGGGATTGAGTCTTTTCTAATAATATGCTACAGAAACTGACAAAAGTTGAAATAAAAATACATCAAGAAAATCTAATTTAGTGCAGCACAGAGTTCTAATGTAATATCAACTTTAATAGGTGTAATAAAATGTAAAATGTCACTACATTCTGTACATTTTATTTGCAATAGTGACACGTCTATGAATGCATCTCATCACAATTCATTGTTCTGACAAGCAGGATTACATCCTTGATGAATCTGTTAAGGGAAAGAATCCTGAATCCATGAGAGAAAAATCTAATGCAGGTTTCGCCCCATGTTACTTTTATTCCATACTGAGTGAAGTAGAAGCATTTGTTTCTTCATCTGTGGGAACACCTTGACACAAAAACACCTGCTATCGGGAGAACACATCCAGTTTGTCCATGCTGCAAACACATATTTTTCAGCACTGAAAATGCCTACTGAAAACTAGATCTTCATTAAACAAATCTCTTCATTTACTGACAGTCATTCACTGCTGTAGTTCTACATCACTACTCTGTATTTTTTTGATATTGCTTAATTCACTGTTCAATATTCCTACCTTTCAATATCGAATGTGAGTTGAATTTAACTGTAAACACAAATTGCAAGCTATGATTTTCCTTCTTGTATGAAACATTAGCAATTTTTTTCACATCAAGTTTCTTTTCAGTATCATCACAAGAACCTACGGAAAGCTCTTCTCAATGCCAAAACCACACCCACAGTGGATTAGCGGGAATCTGCAGAAAAGCATAAGATCTTGAGGGCTGTAACATCAGAGTCAACAGGTCTGATAAAAATTGAGTGCTTTCAGCAGCAGTATTTCCGGTAAAGAAAATTATTCTCATCTACTTCTTCATGGTTGCATGGAAGAGCATCCCTACAAATATGTCCAGCACTGACTTAACTTGTTCACCACACTTGTTCATCAGAAGCTTCTCTTAGCTATATTCAAGATCACCTTTGCAAGAAAATTGAACAGTTCGGTCTTGCTTCATCGGTTCTTAAGAAAACTTACTGAGGAAATCGCTTCACATATGCCCATCTTCTTTTGCACATTTTCTTCAAGTTGCTTGTGTGTGACATATCCAATATGACAGGGATGGAGAATCTTTTTTCAGCCCAAGGATTGTTGTTGTTGTTGTTGTTGTTGTTGTTGTTGTTGTGTGACATATCCAATATGACGGGGTGGAGAATCTTTTTTCAGCCCAAGGATTGTTGTTGTTGTTGTTGTTGTTGTTGTTGTTGTTGTTGTTGTTATAACATTTCTATGCCGCCCCTTGCCGAAACCTCGGGGCGGCTTACAACATGATAAAATACATTGAAATACAATAGTACATAATAAATTACCATTAAATACAAAATACAAAAAATACATTGACTTACAAATATAAAATTAAAATTATCAGTATAAAATAAAAATATAGGAGGAGAAAGAGAAGGAAGAAGAAGTTGCCCTGGCCAGATCATATGTTTTAACAATTGAAATGATGTTTAAATAAAAAGGTCTTTACCTGGCGCCGAAAAACCCGTAACGACGGTGCCAGGCGGACCTCTTTGGGGAGTGAATTCCATAGGTTGGGCGCCACCGCAGAGAAAGCCCTCCTCCGGGTACTTACTCTCCTAATTTCTTTCATGGAGGGTTCCCGGAGAAGGGACTCTCCCGCAGATCTCAAAGGGCGGTCGGGCATATACGGACGTAAGTGCTCGTTCAGGTAGCCAGGACCCAAGCCTTTTAGGGCTTTATAGGTCATAATCAACACCTTGAATTGGGCCCGGGCTTCAGTGGGAAGCCAGTGAAGCTGACGGAGGACTGGAGTCATGTGAGCATAACGCCCCGTCCCCGTCAGCAACCTGGCAGCTCTATTTTGCACCAATTGAAGTGTTCGGACTGTCTTCAGGGGAAGCCCCACGTAAAGCGCGTTACAGAAGTCTAGGCGGGAAGTCACCAGCGCGTGAGTCACCGTCGCCAGGCAGTTGTACTCCAGGTAGGGGCGGAGCTGATTAATCAGCCGAAGCTGAAGGAAGGCGTTCCTCGCTACCGCTGTCACCTGAGCTTCCAAAGAAAGCTCCGGGTCGAGGAGTACTCCTAAGCTGCGGACCTTATCCCTAAGAGGGAGTGTTGCACCATTCAGGACCAGGTCAAATCCACCCTCTCCAAAACCCGATCCGCCAACTAACAAGACCTCCGTCTTGTCTGGGTTGTTTCAGTTTATTGGCCCTCATCCATTCCCTTACCTCGGCCAAGCACCGGTTCAGCACAGCCACTGCCTCACCTGGATTAGTGGAGAACGAGAGGTAAAGCTGGGTATCATCAGCGTATTGATGATTCCGCAGCCCACACCTCCTGATGACCTCTCCCAGCGGTTTCATATAGATGTTAAATAGCAGAGGGGATAGAATGGAGCCCTGTGGTACTCCATGGCATAGCTGCCATGACGTAGAGACATGGTCCCCCAGCACCATTGGCACCTAGGCAACCTCCCAGGGCACAGGCGAACAGTGGCTGTTGCTTCCCACTCTATTCATGCCAGGGAGTGCTGAATCCTTTTCGGTCCAAGGGCTGAATTCCATTCTGGGGAAGCTCTTGGGAACAACATTCCAAGAGGAGATGGATCCAAAGGCAAGGAGCAAGACCAACGGCAACAGTCTTAAGAGAAGCATTTCAGCCTTGTGAAGGGCAGGGTAGGGGAGACTGCACAAAAGCCAGGAGAGTGTGGTGCACTGGTGCTAGCAGGCTAGGGGTGAAGATCGAACCAAGACACAAGGCAGTAAGCAGGCCAATGCTTGAACACACAGGTTTCAGCCTAATGGGGTTTCTGCCAAGGCCAGAGTGCCCAAGGCAGCAGGCAAAGGTCATGACACAGTTACATTATACAGTCTAGGATCAAAATCCAGGAGCTTGTGGCATGGAGCATCAATGGCAAGGCAAGGTTCAGGAAGGGAAAGGGAAAACATTGGAGTGGGAGCAACACTGTTTCCAGCATGGACTAGACAGACACGGAAGGCTTTTAATACCAGACCCTGCTGAGCTCCACCCAGCATTCAGCAGCAGTATATCAAAGCTCTGATCAGATTCGAACTCAGGAGGAACCCCATTCCTCCAAAACAAACCTCTGCTGCAGTCGAGTACTTTGACAAGTTTCCCTGAATTGGGGCTGCCTCCTCTGGTCCTGGCACTCATTGGGACTTGCAGGTATGCAACCTTCTCCAATGAGGCAGTTTCCCTCTTCCCAAAGAGATGAGCAAGCTCCTCCATGGTCCTCTGCTGTATTGTGGGTCCTGGCAGGAGGTGGACTTGTCCCCCACTGGGGCCTCCTTAGAACAATTAATTCGTTCTTGCTTGGAACTATCTTCACCAATGTGAAGTAATGACCATGCTGCTGTTTATATGCTAAGGTATGATCACAAAGATGCTTGTCTTCCTTCCTGAACTCTTCAAGTGTATCATATAAAGTCTATCTGATCATATAAATAAGACCAGAACTGAAGCAAGTGCATTTATTTCAAAGATATTGTTGAAAACAAGCCCTCGACAAAACAAATTAGAGAATTCTGTGAATTCTTTAGGAAAAGTAGAAGTATCAAAATTGAGATTCGGTTCTGACATTTCAAGTCACTCTTCTCACAGTATTTTTCATTACATAATCATTAGAAAGAGTAAGTTTATGATACACAGACTGAGCACTGAATGCTAAAGAGATCAAACTATAATCAGCCTTCACTGTTCAACTGAAACAAAGCTAAGAACATTAACTTAATTTGCTCAGCTTGTTACATTTGTCCTTTGCTTCACATCCCCTTGTTCTGTCTTCTAGTATCAAGGCAGGAATTTCTTGTATTTGTGTGTATGTGTTTGCATGCAAGCACCACATTTACAAACAATGATATACCTGATGATGCCATGTAAATTATGCTAGGAAGAATTTAAGACCTCTCTGAATTACTTTAGAAGAATAAAGCACCAGCATATAACATAAGATGCTGTCACCTTTCAATGAAACTTGATTTCTATTGCTACGGACTGGAGCATGAGCTTTATGAGCTATTTCCACAATCTGTCAGCAATGAATTATGAAGATAATGCAGAATAATGCAGCTGTGTTTCATTTCCGGGTCAGAAATGGGAAGTAACATGTGAACAAAGAAAAATGCACTGGCAAGTCTCCCTAGAAAAATGCTTGGGAGCCAGCCTCAGGTAGCTTTGCACATTGCAAAAGGAAAAACAAGTCTCACCTTGAAATGAACTCATTGTAGTAAAAGGCTGTTGACACGAACAGTACCAAATCAGTGGACTGTCATAGTTACTAAATTGGAACACGATACTACAAAAGAGTGAATGTTCTCAACTTTGCTTCAAGCAACAATTCCAGTAGGAATCCAATCTACATCCTATAGGAATTGAACAGAAAGTGGCATCTTGGCTAACTCCATAAGATACTTCATTGTTTTGAAATGAAGAGGAGCTTTGAAAGTAGGAGAGCTGACTTAATGAACCGTTGTAACATTAAATTTTCTGGCTCCACTGCAATTGCCCCATAAACCTGCATTTCTCTCCTTGCCAAATGAGATCAGCACAACATTATTATTTTAGCACCCCAAAGTATATTTTCTATTTATGGTGTCCAGATTTGAAGGCATAATAAGCAATAGTAATTCTAATGTAAATAGGCCCTTTGTTTTTGACAGTCACCTTCTACAATATCTTTTTACGGAAGTACTTGGAAATCCCCAGTGGTTTAAATATCATAGTCTATATTTGATACCTGTCTTATTCATGAAACACATGCTTCTTAAACACCATTTTAAAGAGCGAAACAATGGCTGAAATTGCATGTTAAGACACCAGAATTAATTTCAGGTGCTGAACTTAATGCACAGTTCCAATTCACTTAGATATATCCTCACTGCTGAAGATGGGAAAACAAAGAACTATAAAGAAGCATAGTTGTTGCTACTACCCATGTTTTAGGATTCAACTGATTCTTCTTAAAATCAAGTGCAACTGCTATTAATGAATTTAAATTAGATTTATATAGATAAATCTTTCTAAATTAAATTAAATTACAATGAAATAATTAAATAGTGTAACCTTTCCAAATAGTGTACAAAGCTCTGGGATGGTGAAGAGCAACATCCTCCTTCCCTAATTCTCTAAGCTGGAGCAGCAAGGCTTTCAGGCCTCTCAAGGTAGAAAAAGCAACAATACCTTCATGGGTAGGCTCAGGGTCGGGTGTAAGAGAGATGTCATCTAGCTCTCGCAAACAAAGCCATTCTCCATCCATGGACACTCGGAATTTGCAAAGATAGATCGTCTCCATGGCAGCCTGTGTGATCTTCTCCGTGGTGGGGGTTGGCATATCGCCTTGTGGCGTCAGAGCAGACATGATGACTCAGCTGATACAATGATAAAATAAAAACCAAAAAACCAAAAAGGAAAGGTTTTCCGGCAACAATAAAATGCCTTGCTTATCTAGAAATGGTTTGCTCCAGATTGCACACACTGCACTAATTTTGACCAAAAGCAAGGCACAGGGTGCGAAGGGGTGGGGGCAGATACCCCTTCTCTTCTGTAGTCTCTTCCTCTGTTTCCTTCTGCAACACACTCACTTCTCTTCAGTCTGACTAGAAACAAATTCTCCTAAATGAACACAGCAAACATGGCCTCTGCATCCAATAAAAAAAAGCTCTTTACTGTCTTCTTAAGAGGTTTTTAAAAATCCACAGATTGTAGAATCTATAGAAGAGAGGGTATCCAGAACTGCTGAAATCCACCAGCTTCCCTCTCACTCCCCTTCGGATAAGCCAAGATACAGAGTGATAATAGGATTGGTTGTGCGCAGTAAGCAGGGTGTTGACCAAAATGGCTGACTAATGAACTGAACTGAAAATTCAGACTCATGTGACCAGCTTGCTCCGAGCGTAGGGCAGGCAATTCCCAGGATGCTTTATAGATGCTGCTGCTGATGCAGGAAGAGCAATTAAACTGATCTTGTTCTCAGCATCCACAATCTCTTTTCAGACTGTGCTAGTCAATCTGTGATCACAGGCTTAACACAATGCACGCCTTTCTGCTTGGTCCTTTTCATGGTACAAAGAAGTATAAAAAATGCCTGTGAGCCATCTCACATGACAGACAGCTATATACGGCTATCATCTTTCAATACAAATTAACCACAGCTTGCACTGTTTATGGAGGATAAAAGTATTCTAACCTTAGCTATCTCCCAAGTTAGTCCACCAGTTTCAGATATTACTACTAATACCAGAAAAACAAACAGAAAATAAGCATTTGTGCAGTTAAATGCTCAGTGCTTTGCACTGATAGAGTTTAGCATTTGTGTCAAAAACCTAACATTCTCACAGCATGCTTTCAAAGAGATTACAACATATTTATAAGTATGGTACATTGTCTGGAAAAATCCCAAAGTCACTGCAAACCCATCAGAAGCTCCACAAAAGACCAAAGTCATTGTCTAGAAAAACCATTGCTCCATTATGTACCTCAGCACGATCAGGTTGCTAACTTGTTTGTTAACTGCACAATTTCTCACCAGAACAGTAAGTAAAAAGAGATTCTCCTTCAGATCCTGGAGATATACCTTGCCTGCTTTTACCTGTAGACTCCATGGGATGCCTAGATGAGATCTTTAAAACCTATTGTTCTTTAAAAAAGGGTATAGGTCTGGCAGCAGATAATATTACTGGGTCAATACATAATAGCTAAAGCACACTCTAAACTGAGAAGAACAAAAAAAAAAACCTGACATCCATAGGTGCCTGGAAAGCAGCTTCAAACCAAACTCCACACCAATCAGACCTGGCTCTTGTTTCAAATTGGCAGTAAGAACTTGAGACTGAGACATGAGGGACATATGGCTATGCTATTGCTACAGCTAAAAACCATGCAGCAAGCTTGGATCAGCCAATACACCTTTAGGCTGCAAAAACACAAGCATCAAATTTAAGTAGCCCTTTTTCTTTTGCAGAAGAAACGCCATCTTCAATGCCCAGCACAAAACTATCTAGACTGAAATTGGCGCATTGAGAATAGTATGGATGCAAACTCCCAAGTGGTTAGAGATCAAAGGTTCATAATTCTACTATCAAGTTGCTGAGAGTTAAGGCTAAAAGGATTGGGAGGTCTATACAAAGCAGAAAAATGGCAATCCTCTGTGTTCCCGGTATGCCACTGCTGCAGCTGAGTGCTTGCTCAAACAGTTACGGAGCAGCGAAGCCTTCCTCAACCTACCAACCTCCAGTTATTTAGCATTACAACTCCCAGCATTCCTGGGGCTCAAGGAAATTGTTGTCTAAAATATATGAAGGATGTCAGGTTGGGGAAAGCTGCTATAGATAATGACAATGAAGACTACACAACAATGCATGATAGAGAGCAGGAAATTCCTTTGAAGGTTGAAAACAGCATAATTGATGGAAGCTAGGAAAACTGTTCCCTGCATCATGAGATAAGCAGTCTTGAGAACAGGAGCAGTTCCTAGAAATTTGAAAAAGTTAAAGTAATTAAATTTTAATTCCATTTAAAATAAAATCAAGCAGACAGAAAGTAGACTCTAATCCAGGAATTCTGAATTCCAATGGTTGTATTGGGAACTGGGTGTCCTCATATTCATTTCAAGCAACAGTCAGTCTCTTGGCAAAAAAAGTCCTTTATTTCCGACTCACCTCTAACAAACTATAGCCACAAATGTCTGTGCATGAACGAAGTGTGGTGTTGGACCCAAATGAAAAACTACTCCCAGTAACCCTAGGCTCCACCCCTCTGGGAGTGCCATTCTCCCTAGCCTCCTAGATCTGTATAGGTCCTCTAGTTGGGTAGCCCTTCTAGCCCGACCTTGCACATGGAGTCTGAAATGGGACCAAACCAGGCTTGTCCTCATCCTCCTCTCCTTTGTCACCGCCCTTCATTTCCAAACCCTGTGTGTTGCCATGGTCTTCCTGAGCACCTGGAGACAGTGGCCTTGAGATAATCTCTCCCTGCTCTGCCATCTCAATTTCCATACTCGGTTTCCAAACCATCAAAGTCCTCTTCTAAATGGTCAGCACAGCCCTGACAGTGTGCCAAGAATAACTGCCTCATTCGTTCCCAACAGGTTTCAACTATACATACAGGAATCCATTCATCAATCCAGATTTTGAGGTACCAGAACAGGCTGAGATACTGAAAATAATCAGCATGGAAACATGACAAGAATAGGGATTGTTCAGGATAAGCATGTCCATGATCTAGAGAAAAGCATATGAAAACTTGAGTTATTGTGTGCTATCAATTAATTTCTGATTCATGGCAACCCTTCAAAATGTCCACTCCTTCTCAGCCTTGCTCAACTCTTTTAAACTCAATGCTATGGCTTCTTTTCTGGGATTGACCCATCTCACTTTTGATCTTCCCCTTCTTCTGCCTTCAACTTTCCCAAGCATGATTGTCTTCTCCAGGGAGGGTTGCCAAAGTATGACAGCCCCCCACCCTTTTAAGTTTTAAATGCAAGTTCTGGCTTGATTTAATCTAGGACCCATTTGTTCATCTTTCTGCCAGTCCAGGAATTTGCAAAGCTCTCCTCCAGCACCATGTTTTGAACACATCAATTTTCTTCCTGTCAGCTTTCTTAGCTTTCCAGCTTTCATACCCATGCATAGTGACTGGGAATGAAATACTGTGGATAATCTTGGCTTTCATCTCCAGTGAAATATCCTTATATTTGATTATCTTTTTCTACTTCCTTTATTGCTGCCCATCCAAGTCTCAGTCTTCCTCTAACTTCTTGGCTGCAATCTCCAGAGTTGATAACTGAGCCAAGGTATGTAAAACCTTCCACTACTGAACTATCTTCATTGTTGATATTAAATTGTAGGCAAGTTTTTGTTTTCTTAATATGCTACTACAGTCATGCATTTGTACTTTCTTCTTTCACCTTCACCAGGAGTCTGGCAGATTGGATTATGTACTGAAAGGCTCCAATTGGTGCTGCAAAAACTGAAAGGAAAGTTTACTTCTCTCTTGGTCTAAGTCAAGCACATGGACCTGCTTGCTCAAGTGTACACAGCTCGCAAATCCAAGATTCCTGTGCCCTCACCTATAATGCAAAATCTGGAGGCTTATTTTATACCTAAGAAACAAATCTTGAACAATAACAGTTTATGATAGCCAAAAATATTATTATTGAAGACTATTAGCATTCCTTCTATATAATAATCAGAACAGTACATTAAAGGCATCACATGTGTTTGCTGTGAGCAATCATGATGTGCACCATAATTTAGAAAGAACTGAAGGTGCCTAACACAATTCAAGCACCAAAGCAAATCTGATATGGTCACTTTAAGGTTTCACATGGTTGGAAAATTACTCAAGTACCAAATGTGTTTGCACTCTGTGAAAGAAGAGCAGAGTCTAAGGGTTTGGAAGGCGGCCCGTACAAGAGGAGCAAAATCCTATCCGAGGAATATTACAGTTATCTACCTTCAGAACACCAATTCACATGCATAACTAACAGGAAAGTAGGTATCTTGCTTTTAGTTACCAACAGGGGTGCTCATGGTGAAAGAACATGCCAAGAGACTGAAGATAACAAAGCACAGACAACTTTAATATAGTTAACAAAAGCTATGTTTCCTCCTGGTTTTCCAGAGCAATATTAGCCACCTACCCATGTCATGTCAATGCCAGGTGTTTACTGTGTTACCATGCAAGACCACGGATGGATTATCAGAGAATCCCAATACTGAAAGGCACAATTCAGTTATACATCTGGGCTACCGTTCTTTGTATATTCTTGTTCCCCACTGCTTTAATTTCTTGCTTTCCTTTTAAGATGTTAAACTACTTTTTGACAGGGCTGGGTTTTGCGATATCTAATGCAGCACCTAACACAAAAGTAATCCTGCCTCCTCTTTTACATGTATCTCTGCAAGACACTAAGGGTTCAATCCTATGCATGTTCAGACAGAAAAAATCCTACAACTTATAGGACCTCTTTTGACTAAATATGCATGGGATGCAATCCTATGCATACCTACTCAGCAATAAGCCACACTGTATTCAATGAAATGTACTCTCAGGTAAATTGTATAACACTGCAATTTACACTTACCTAGGAGTGAGTCCTACTGAATTTATGTAAAATATCCTGTAAGAAAGCGATCCTGTGGTACCTAGGAAAGCATCCGGAGGATCACAGGGTAGCTTAGAAAATCATTCCAAGTTTAGAGACAATACTCTGGCTTCAGAAGGTGCAATCAGACTTCAGACTGCCCCTTTTCAGCCAGCAGCCTCTCTGAGGTTAGAAAGCTGACCTCAAAGAGGGGGGAAAGGGGCAGGGTAGGGAAAGACCGGAGGAGCTAGGCTATGACACACCTGGAGCCTCCCCCCTCCCTCCCTGAAGCAAGCTTGCCAGACAGGCTAAAAATGACATATCCTCAGTCTCCTCCAACTGTCTTTCCTCCTACTCCCACTTGTTAACCACCCAGAACGCCTGGGCTATTTGGCAGCAGAAAAATGAAATAAAGTAATAAATGCCTTTTCTAGCCAGTCTAAAAAGCCAGTTCAGCAAAGCTGCAGGGTGGTAGAGCCAAAAGGTAAAGATAGTCTCTGCAGCTCCTTCCACTCCATGCTGGATGATTGGACACCTCCAAGTTTGGGGACTTCTGATTACCAAGTATATAATCCTATCACTTGTATCCTAAGGGTATTTTATTTAGCACAAAACTGATCTCTGATTATCCAGTATAGATATAGAAGGCGATTGTGTGACAAGTACAAAATAAAAATAAAAAAATAAAAAAAAAAGCAAGCAGAAAATCTTAAGTGATCAAGTAAAGACGAAGATTTCAGGTTTTATACTGGGCAACAATCTGGAACCAATTCTGTAGCATAATAGAAAACTATTTCTAGCATAAAAAGAGGCTGTGTAAGATTCACCAAGTTCTAGCACTTGCTGTCTCTTTACTGCCTCAGATAGCGCAAATAAACCCTCTCCCTCCATTTTCTTCTCAGCATGGCAGAAGCAACTGCCTGACTCACAAAGCTTTATCATGACACTTCATCAACTCCTCAAGAATTTGCAAACAGTATAAGCCATTGGACAGGTTAAACTGGTATTCGACACTGCAGTGAATCTCTACTGTGCACCTGTCTTTTTTAATACAGCAACAAATGATAATCACTGTTCCAGGCTCAGCTCAAAGGACCGTTCAAATAAATAGCCCTTATTTAACCCACAGAGCAGTTGCCACACATGTGGGATGTATCTGACCACCACTTCAACCCCTGCTTGAGGGTACTTGTCAGGGTCCAGGGCTGGGACATGGGTGGCAGGAGATAAGACAGAAGCACCAGGAACAGAGCAAGAGAACTTGAGGCAAAACAGAGCCAGAAGTCCAATGAAGTCCAGTTAACAAAGACCAAGTTGCAGTCACAGAACAGGCCAGGGTCAGGAAACAGAAGTTCAAATAAGGCCAGGACAAAGTTACCATCGTGAAAAAACCAAGAGACGAAAACCAGGAAGACAAACAGAGGTGCAGGTACAGTAAGACAGGATCATTGGAAACATGGTTTATAGGAAGGTTAAACAACCCCCACATCACCCAGAGTATGTTTTATTCCTAGCATAAGCCACATTTGCCAGGCTCACACAGTACAACAACCCACAGGAGGGGGCTGCTTGCTTGATTTTCTGCCTGTGAGTTCAGGGGCTCAACACGGGTTATGACAAGCCACTGAGTGTTGTTCAAACCTGCTCAGAGTGCTCTTGTTAACCTTGGAAGTTCTCCATGG